TATCCTCTTGTATTGATCCTTTTATCATTATATAGGTCCTTCTTTATCTTTCTTTATGGCCTTTGCTTTAAAGTCTATTTTATCTGATATGAATATTACTATCCTCACTTTATTTCCATTTGAGTGAAATATCTTTTTCCATCCTCTTACTTTTAATCTATGTGTGTTATTTGCCCTGAAGTGGGTCTCTTGTAGGCAGCATGTTGTAGGCTCTTGTTTTTTATCCAATGTACCACTCTATGTGTTTTGATTGGAGCATTTAGTTCAGGTAATTGACATTTAAGGTAATTATTGATAGATATGTATTTATTGCCATTTTATACCTTGTTTTCCAGTTGATTTTGTATTTCTTCTTTGTTCCTTTTTCTTTTTGTTTTTCCTTTTGTGGTTTGATGGTTTTCTTTTGTATTATGCTTGTGTTCTTTGCTTTTTGGTTTTTGTGAATCTATTGTATATTTTTGATTCCTGGTTCCCCTGTTTTTTAAGTATGTTAACCCATTACTATATCTACTTGCTTTAGACTGGTAATCATATAGGTTCAAACACATTCTAAAAAAAGAAAAGAAAATCTACATTTTCTTACTCTCCTCCCTGCCATTTTATGATTTTGATGCCCTCCTTTACATCTTCATGCTTATCCTTTTGCTGTTCATTGTAGTTTTCATCACTTCCACAAAAATTTGAAAAAAATTTTTTTTTTGATAATCTATGTACAGACTTATTTAAGTGATTTACTCTATAGTCGTTTTCTTTTTCTTATAGATTCTTGCTTCTTTTCTATTTCAAAAAGACCTTTTAATATTTCTTTTAGGATAGGTTTAGTATTGCTGTATTCTTTCAGTTTTTGCTTGTCTGGGAAATTCTTCCTCTCTCCTATTCTAAATGATAATCTTGCTGGGTAGAGGATCCCAGGTTGCAGGTTTTTCCCTTCCAGGACTTTGAATATATCTTGCCACTCCCTTCTGGCCTGCAACATTTCTGTAGAGAAATCAGCTGATAGCCTTATGGCAGAGGGTCCCTTGTAATTAACTCTGTTTTTCTCTTGCTGACTTTTGAATCCTGCCTTTAACTTTTGCCATTTTAATTATAATGTCTTGGTGTAGGTCTGTTTGGGTTCATCTTCTTTGGTATCCTCTGTGCTTCCTGTCCCTGGATATCTGTTTCCTTCTTTAGGTTTGGGAAGTTTTCAGCCATAATTTCTTCGAGTACATTTTCAGTCCCATTTTCTCTTTCTTTGCCTTCTGGAACTCCTATTATGCACGGATTGGCACAATTTGTATTATCCCATAAGTCTCTTATGCTGCTTTTATTTGTTTTTTTTTTTTTTCATTTGGCTTTCTGTCTGCTGTTTTGTTGGGTGATTTACATTATTCTATATTTCAGATCACTTATTCATTTTTCTGCGTTATTCATTCTGCTATTCATTGCCTTTAGCTCAGCTTTCATCTTGGCAACAGAGTTTTCTAATTTTTCTTGGCTCCTCTTTATAGTTTCTAGTTCCTTTTTACAGTGATCCGTATTTCTATGAATAGGCTTTCTGTTTTAAAATAATTAATTAATTAATTAATTATATTTTTGGCTGCCTTGGGTCTTCATTGCTGCGTGCAGGCTTTCTCTAGTTGCAGTGAGCGGGGGCTACTCTTCGTTGCAGTATGCGGGCTTCTCATTGCAGTGGCTTCTCTCGTTGCAGAGCATGGGCTCTAGGCACATGGGCTTCAGTAGTTGTGGCATGCAGACTCAGTAGTTGTGGGTCACGGGCTCTAGAACACAGGCTCAGTAGTTGCGGCGCATGGGCTTATGTGCCCCACAGCATGTGGGATCTTCCTGGACCAGGGCTCGAACCCATGTCCGCTGCATTGGTAGGTGGATTCTTAACCACTGAGCCACCAGGGAAGTCCTCAATAGCCTTTCTTAATTCCTTCAGTATTTTAATTCTCTCTTTTTTGAACTTGGTGTCTACCAGACTTAAGAGGTCTGTTTCATTGTTTGTTTCAGGGGAGTTCTCTTGACCATTTAACTTGGAGTGGTTCCTCTTCTTCTTCATTTTACTTATATTTCTCTGACTCTATATGAGTTTAGGAGAAACTGTTATCTACTGTGGTCTTGAAGGGCTGTTTTTATATAGGAGTGTACCTGTGTAGCCTCCATGAGTCCAATATTTTTGGTGCAAGGGCTGTTTTTAGTATGGATGCCTGCCTCATTTTTCCTCAGTGTGTGCTGGCCGTTATCCCCTTGTTAGGGGATGTGATTGTTGTTGTGATGACCAGAGCCTGAACTGGTTGTTGAGTGGAGCCTCCTCTTTGCTCTGTGGTTGTCACAGACCCGTGGAGACAGGTCTGCTCTCCTGTTGTTGGAGTAGACTCCCCCACATCTGTTTCTGAGCTGCGGTGTGAGGTAGGTGGGGCTGGAGTGTTCCTGCTGAGAGAGGAGCCACTGAGTATTCCTTCACAGGAGTTGTCCACCGGGAAGTGTGCTCTGTGGTGTCACCTGTCACCTGTTGTGTGGGCTCACAAAGCACACTGTTTTTGGCACTGCCATCGGCCGTGCCTCAACTGTGGGAATTCAGCTAATCAGACTAGTTTTCCCTCAGGCACTGTACACAAAGCCACAAATGCAGATCTGTTGGCACAGAACTGCTGAGGTCAGGCACAGGGACTGCTGCAGTAACGCATCTGGACCCGCAGTGGGAGCTACTGAGTCTGCCCAGACCCCAGCCCTGCCTCTGCATGTGCGCACCCACAGAGCCCACAGCCACCATTGCTGGACCCGTGCAGCTGCAGGAGCACCAGTAATCCACTTGGATGTCCCGCGGGCAATGAGTTTACAAAAACACTGCCAGCACATAAATCTATGGATTGCACAGCCGCTGAGACAGGGCTAGGATTTCAGCTCTGCTTCTGCATGGGGACAGCCGCCAGTGCTTGCATGGTCCCAGAACTCTTAGAGGTGGAACTGCACCAGCTGTGAGCAGGCCGAGAATGAGGCTGCTATGGTGGGCCCAGCCCCTCCCTTTGAGCACGCAAATTAACAATGGGGCTTCAGTGGCGGACCTGGGCTCCTTCCTGCACACACCCTGGGTGTGGCCCAGACCACACTCCAGCTCCTTCAGACTGTCTCCATGCAGCCTACCCCAGCCCTCTCCCTGGGTCTGCCTGCTGAAGCCAGAGTTTCAGCATCCAGCCCCCATGTGCACCAGCAGACACGTCTTGGGCCTGGGGAGTGTAGAGAGGTGGCACAGACCCTCTGTGCTGGTCTCTCTCTGTTCTGCCTGCTGCAAGCTGGCTGCTCTACTCTCCTCTGAGCCTCTGAAGCTTCCTTTCTGTCCTGGCTGACCTCCCCACTGGTGAAGGGGCTTCTCAGGGTGAGGGAACATTTCCTCTTTCACAGTTTCCTCCTCCGGTCCCGATTCCTTTTTTTTTCTTTCATCCTACACAGTTACTTGGTGATCTTTCTTGCAATTTTGTTTTATGAGATCTGCCAGCGTTCAGCAAGTATTCTGTGAGCATTGTTCCACATGTATTTTTGATGTGTTTTTGGGAGGAGGTGAGCTCCATGTCCTTTTAGTCTGCCATCTTGATCCGGCCCCCTCTAGGAATTTGCCACATTTGTTTTATCTCTTGCTCTTCCCCCTTTATATACATAAGTGAATGGTAATTTCTCTTTTTCTGAACCATTTGAAAGTTGAAGATATCATGACACTTGACCTCTAAGTACTTCAGCATGACTCTCCTAAGAATAAAAACATTGGGGACGTCCCTGGCGGTCCAGTGGTTAAGACTCCACACTTCCAATGCAGGGGGCGTGGGTTCAATCCCTGGTCGGGGAACTAAGATCCCACATGCCACATGGTGCGGCCAAAATAGATAAATAAATAAATAAAAACATTGTCCTCTATAACCATGAAACCTTTATCACACCCTTGGAATTTAGCATTGATACAGAAATATTCAATATACAGTCCATATTCAGTTTGTCTCAATTGTCTCAATGTCTTTTATAACATGTTTTTCCTCCTCCCCAGGACCCAATCAATACTCTTTTGTATTTAAAATACCTGTTGGGAATTTGTGGGATGTTAGTGTTCTGCAGAACTGAGTTTGGGAAAAAGTAGCTTAGATTGTATATTTAAATCTGTCCCTTTTCTTGTAATTTAATAAATGCTAACACTTCATTTAAAATGTGTTTTCCAGGAATTCCCTGGTGGTCCAGTGGTTAGGACTCTGTGCTTTCACTGCCAGGGCCTGGGTTCAATCCCTGGTCAGAGAACTAAGATCCCGCAAGCTACGTGGCACAGCCAAAAAATAAAAATAAATTTAAAAATAAAAATTTTTTTAGGGGAAACAATATTGCCTGAACTGTATATTTTATCCTTTGGATTTCTCAATTATGACTGCAGGGGAAAGCAGAGCTATAATTACTAAGTACCTGAATATGCCTGACAAAATAGTAAATATCATACAAAAAAATTAACTATCTTCAGGACTATGCCTTTTATTTTTAAATTTTTTTTTAAGATTTTTTTTTTTATGTGGACCATTTTTTTAAAGTCTTTATTGAATTTGTTATAGTATTGCTTCTGTTTTTTTTTACATTTTGTTTTTTTGGCCGCAAGGCACGTGGGATATTAGCTCCCTAACCAGGGATCAAACCCGCACCCCCTGCATTGAAAGGGGGAGTCTTAACACTGGACCACCAGGGAAGTCCCAAAACCATGCCTTTTAAATTTAGTATGTGTTAATTGCTAACAATGTATGGAAAACAGTAGATTTTTTAAAAAATTCTGTTTCTAATGACAAATTCCATGGTCAAAGAAAATTTGGAAGAATTAAAATGTTTCCTTCCTGTCTTTTTTCTATGTCACTAACTATGGATTTGGGACAGAAGAATGGCATGCTGAAAATGGCATATGCTTCAGGGCCTAAACTTTAAAACAATATTTTAATGGAATGTGTGACTTTAAAAGGAAAAAGAAGGAACAAGTAAGATCCAAGGAACCATCATAACTGACAAACGTCTTAGTGATCTTTAATAAAAAAGTTAAACATTTTATTGCCCAAAGTCCATGACAAATAATGCTTAACACTTGTTTGGACATCATCCCAGACCACATCCCAGGGCCACTGCTAATTTAGTAGGTGTGGTAAAGTTTTGACTCCACGAGGCATTCTGGTCCTCATTTGTAGCTAAACTAAGAAATCCTTCCCAATCTCTTTAGCAAATCAGTTGTATTGCATCCTGAATTTCTGCATTCTGTGAAGTAGGTGATAGGGTCATCAAAGCTGTCCAGTAGTAGTTGGGTTTTCCTGAAAGGAAATGGAAGGCACTGCATGAACATTCTTGCTCCACTGGAGTAAATACTACTATGTCAAATTTGCATGTAGAGGTTTCTTTCTAATAATGTCTGCCATTACTCATCACTTACAGTATTATTAGATTAATTATGTTTTTAGACCTTAATCATACTTAATAATTCTAAGAATTAGGGAAGATTCTATTTTTAACCACAATAACCAAAGGATCTTTCCTACTCGCTCAGAAATAACAAGCCTTTAACTTTCCTCCAGAATCATTTTAATGTCTAGATAGCTTATATTTATCTCCTTTCCCATGATCTAAGTGACCATAACCATTCTCACTCAACCTCAACCTATATGCCAAACACAGGCAAATATGTATTTCATCCCAGCCATTCCACCGCTTTTTTGCACACCAGACTAATGTATCAAACATCCTACTAGATGTTTTCACTTGGATGTCCTGTGGATACTTCAAATTTTGATATGTCCAAAACCCAGTATGCGGTCTTTATCCCTGTATGGCACATAAAAGAGAGCTGAATTGAACAGACCAAAAAACAAAAGAATGTATCATAAGGACACAGTTGAGTTTATGAAATACAAGAGTAGCAATACAGCCAGGACTTACACAGAGGTTGGAACCAAAAATGGGAAGCTACCGGTATTCTTCCTGGTTATTTTCTTAGTCTCTGCTAATTTGGGGGTATGCCTGCTTTAGTAGTGCCTCTCCTTTTCCTCTTCTTCCTGCTACTACTACTATTACTATTGCTGTCTTCTCTCTGGATATGGCTGCCCACAGCACAAACAATTAAAATTCCAGCCACAGTTTAAAAACTCTGGTTTTCCATAGGTCCAATCACAAATTACCAGAAAAGAATCTAATTGGCATAGTGTTTTTAAGTGTCCATACTAGATCAATAAGATACAACCAGTCCACACTGTGCAAAGATTATTGTGGACTCTTCCTTTGGAGAGGGGGCAGTGCTTACAGAAGGGACAGTTGCTCATTAGCTAAGGAGATACCTCAAAACCTACCTTGACTGTCTTCTCTTTCCTGCTTATAGCCTATCCACCCAGTGACCTATGTCGGAAACAGGAGCCACCCAGTTTCTCCGTCATTGTCAGTATGCAGTCAGTTAAGTCCTGCCCATCCTACACCTTAAATATCTTTTAAATTTAGTCCTTGACCTTTATGCCCATTGTAAACAGCACATTTGGGACCACCAGAGCCTCAAACTATTATAGTGAGCTCCCTGCCTTCAAGCTCCATTGTATCAACAGCTAAAAATTCTGTTCTTATTAGATTCCTCCATTTCTTGAAGCTCTTCAATGGCTCCTCAAGTTTAGTTAGTGTTTCCCAAACTTTCCTGATCAAAAAATTACCTGGGGTGCTGGTTAAAAATACAGATTCCCAGGTTACTCCTCCCTCTGGATCAGTAAATTTGTAGTATAACCTGGTCATTTGTGTTTTTTTGTTTTTTTGTTTTTGCGTTACGTGGGCCTCTCACTGTTGTGGCCTCTCCCGTTGCGGAGCACAGGCTCCAGACGCACAGGCCCAGCGGCCACGGCTCACGGGCCCAGCCACTCCGCGGCATGTGGGATCTTCCCGGACCGGGGCATGAACCCGTGTCCCCTGCATCAGCAGGCGGACTCTCACCCACTGCGCCACCAGGGAAGCCCCCATTTGTGTTTTTAACAAGCACTCCAGTTGCTTCCAATGTTTACCAAACTCTTCAACATATACCCTGCCTTCTCCTCCCCAACTCTGTATTGGACGTTGGACCCAGTGTTCCAATATCTGCTCAGAGTACTTTGTCCATTTCTGTGCATCAGTGCTTGGCAAACAACTACTCATCCTTTAAGAATCAGCCTGTACACCACCACCATCTTTGTAAAGCTATGGTCTGTGGATTGACTCAACTACTCTTTCCTTGGTGCTCCAGTGAATCTTGTGCTCCACCTCTGTTAGAATTTCTTCACGCTAAATAACTTTTCTGTTTCTCCCCATTGCATTTGAGAACTTTAAGAGCAGTAACTGAGTTTTATTTGTCTTGCATCTAAAAGGACATGTGTTTTAATAGGAACACTACATTATTTCTGTCAGGGAAAGAGAGAGTTAAAAAAAATGATACCGGGCTTCCCTGGTGGCGCAGTGGTTAGGAGTCTGCATGCCAATGCAGGGGACACGGGTTCGAGCCCTGGTCTGGGAGGATCCTGCATGCCGCGGAGCAACTAAGCCCGTGCTGTACAACTACTGAGCCTGTGCTCTAGAGCCCGTGAGCCACAACCACTGAGCCTGCATGCCACAACTGTTGGGGCCCGCGTGCCTAGACCCCATGCTCCGCAACAAGAGAAGCCACCTCAATGAGAAGCCCGCACACCGCAACAAAGAGTAGCCCCCTCTCGCCACAACTAGAGAAAACCTGTGCACAGCAATGAAGACCCAACGTAGCCAAAAATAAATAAAATAAAATAATTAAAAAAAAATGATACCCCTCTTCTCTGAACCAGGTCCTGAATTTATTGAGATAAAGAAGTCAGACAATTGGAGCTCAACTGGCTACTGTTTACTGATGCACAGCTGGAGAATGCAGTTCTGGTGCATGACTACAATAAGCTTCCTAATACTGCACCATAGAATTAGACTTAACATCCAGTGACGGCGAGTGCAGAGGATTTACTACTAAGCTTACCAAATGGCTGACATTTGCAGAAAACCTATGCTTTCTACAGAACCAAAGAAAAGATGGGTTATGAAAGCCCAGTTCCTATTCCCAAACTTACCCGTCGGTTCCCTCGTGGTCCTCTGGAAATGAGTAGGTAAGCATGTGGAGTGATGGCAAGAGTGAGACTCTGAAGGTGCTCTTTACACATGGAGCAGCAGGGGTGGGGACTAAGTGTTCACTCAGCACTTTGAATCAGAGATGGCTTCCAGCTTGTGGTAAAGCACTCTCTTCTTATCATTGCTGCATATCCGTCAAGGGCCTCAGCATCTGACTTTTAGATTGTAGCCAAGAAAGAGAACTTGGAGGTTGGTGCTGTGATGATAGGTAACATGGAGCTATAGCCGCTGACCTAGGCTGCTTCCAAGTGGTGACTTGGTGTCACTTTCATGGTTTCGGCAAATTGGAATTCTGCCACTCAAAATGGCTTCCGGCCACTTACTCATATTGTCTATTCATGCACATAATCATTTTCTTCTTCCAATCCAAAGGAAAATCAGCTAATTGGCTAACCTTTAGGAATAGGGAAGATCTGGCAAGGCTGTTGATGGTGCAACATTGGTTGGTATCACAAGTGGACATAATGGCCAAGAGTTAAGGAACAGAAGGGTTTTTTTTTCCTTTTTAATATCTGTTCTTTTTAATGCTATATGTTCCCTATCTTTTTGGACAGAACATCAGGGCCACTTGCCTGCTTACAAAGGCCAAATTACTAGGGTAAGAGACAGAGATAATCAGATGCCATACGTGTGTGTGTGAGAGAGAGACAGAGAGAAAGACAGACAGAGACAGAATTAGAGATTTAAAGACCAGGCAAAGGAGGTGATTTGGAAATGCAGACAGACAGGTAAGTTTGAGTGATAAGGGATTGTATGATTCACCATCGCAGTTTTACAGTTGGAGAGACTTCCTCACATGTTAATTCTGTGACTGAAGCAGCTGCTTAAACTCTACAAGCCTTGGTTTTCTCATTCGTAACAGAGATAATAGTTGTAATTACATCATAAAATTGTTATGATGACTAAATGAGCTAATTCACATGAAACGCCCCATTAAGAGTTTTTTCTGTACTTTTGCTTTGTTCTCATCATCATCCTAATTATTCTGATCATGTCATGCTGCAGGTTGAACTTTTCAAAGCTTTTTCCTTTCAGTATTATCTCCATTTCTCTAACCGTACTGGTTTAGTACATAGTTCACCCTGACTACGTTTGATGTAAGAAACATCCCAAATATCAGGATTTTTTGGCAAATCCATACTTTTAATTTCTATCAAGTTTACATTTGGAAAACTCATTTCTACTTGCAGTTGTTGGAAAATGTGTCAACTATGATGGATCCAGCGTATAGTTATTAAGGTTTTTTCCTTCTTCCTTGTTTTTACTGTTATTATTCTTTTAAGTTCTTAAGGCTGTCTAAGGATGATTAAGTATAAACTATATATTCTTTACCCTTTGATGTTGTGGGCAAAAAATAAATATTGCAACCATCAAATTTTTGTTTCATATAAAATTATTATATTAAAGTTAACCTCATTAATACAATTTTGCTGTCAGGCAGGTCTAAATGAAGCTTTGGGCAAGAGTTTTGTTTGGGATTTTAATATTATCTTTTCCTTCCAAAGATTATGAGCTCTCCATTTTGCTTATAGTTTACAGCTGTGTGACTAGCTAAAAGAGGATTATTACTTCAGGATGAAAAGCTGGGTTAGTTGGCTGATGACTAATTTACAAAGGATATTTTACTATTAATGTAGGTGGGGGCCCATGTGGGCTAATTTTTTCTTAAGCTATTGGTTTAATATGCTAAGAGTAAAGTTTTGTGGCCTAATTCAGTCTATCCCCAGGGTAGCCAGAATTTCTAGCCTTAAGTCTCTCTTTAATTACACTTTTCACAGTTAGCTTCAATAAAGCGGAACAATTTTGTAGATATGCCCCACATGCATATGTTCTATGTAGACAGACTACAGTGCTTGGATAAAATCCACACTTCATTCATTGCTCATGATATTTCTTTGAGCTCCAGGAACATGATCTGGGACACTAATTTTCTACTTTTTCAAGAGAAAACAAAAATTACACTAGTAATGACTGACCTCATGATATGAATGGACTTGGACTACGACATGTCTCAGCCTTCCAGTTGCCTGAGTTCATAGGCCTTTCATTATTCTTGCCCTGCACCACCCCTACCACACCTACAGCCCCTCTGAAGTTCCTTAGCAACACAGAAACTCGAAACTTTGTTTATGGAAAAACAAAGTTCTCAATCAAGGGTAAGTACAATAACTGTGATCTCTGTTAGAACAACTCAACAAATGCTCATAGCCCATCTACAGAAAAGGGCAGGTTTGCCCGACTACGCTGAGTTAGCAGCCAAGCCTGATGGGTGACATAACCCTTCTCTTTCTAATCTAGGGAATTGGTATGATATAGGAAGTTATATTTTTCCAGTCCAAAGACATTGTTCGCAAAAAAACCAGGCACCATGTTAAAAAAAATCTAAATGGAATAATTAAGATCCTAGATATAAGTTCTGAACAAGAAACCAGGGAATCCCTGATCATTTTAGCAGAGTTTTGGGGTGGCTTTCCCAGATTGAAAAACTATTACGATTTCACAAGCTGCATTTTATACCTCCAAAGAGAATTCATCTTTTCTTTGGGGGAGCAATTTAATGGGCATTTGGGCTATGTAAAGATAGTACTCACAGACGAGTGTGTGGAAATAAGGAGCCCAGCTGCTTGGTATGTCCAAGATTGTGTTCCTTGGGTACAGAGCATGTTGAGTGGTCACCTGATTTTCTGCTTGTGGGAAACCCAAAGACATGAAATTGGGATTATCTTATTATTTGGATTTCAAAAATATCTTGCTCTCAGAAGCTAAAAAAATACAGTGCAGATGGACTACATATTGGGTCCATTTGAGATAGTTTGGAACTCTGGTGCAGTACCCACATGCATCTTAGACTGATAGTTTCCCTAGAACTGAGTCAAGAGCAGATCCTCACCATGGCTACCAAATAGGTTTACAGAGTCTGCACTGACTGATCAATCAATCTCTTCTTCCACAACCCCCTCTTCCCTCAGTTCTCCTCTGTTCTCTCACAGCCTCTGCCATCAAACTCCCTCAACTGAGTGGCCTCACAGCTTCTGTTCCCTTGGGAGAGTCCAGTCCCATCTACTGGAGAAAGAACTTTTTCCCCTCTTTCTCAACATTTCAGGGGAATGCCTCAGGCTTTGGTTAGATGGTAATGATGACTCCCTTCCACTCAGACTGCGTCAGCTCCTGGGAAAAGAGGAACTAGCTGTCCTTTCTGGACTGAGAGTTATGGGGATACTCCAGTTCTATTTGTTTCCCCATCAATGAGAGCAGCCAACGATTTCCTACTCACTTCACCTAAAAAAATGAGTAAAACTCAAACTAACCAAGAACAGCATTTATTTTTTCCCTCTTGGGAGAAAGAAGACAAGACATTAAAGATTGCTATTGGTTTGGCTGCTTCTTTCAACCAACATACCCTTGGTTATTGAAGATTTGCTTCTTCCTGGGCCTGGCTGTAAATTACATTTTGCTTCCTATAAAAAAAAAAAAAAGAAGAAGAAAGAAAGAAAAAGGAGGAAGCACCAGCTCAAATTAAGATTATTTTCTTCTCTAGTCCAAGTTTTCTCCTGATAGCAGTCTATCCTACTGTTAACAATAATTTTTAAGAGCAAAGCAGTCAATCCATATTTATATTTTAAAAATTCTTAGAGGATAAAATATGTACCCACAGAGAAAAAACTCTTGCATATAGAGGGCAATATAGTTTTTGGAGCTAAACATCTGGTTTCTCCTTAAAGAACAGAATCTTTGCTTATCTTTGTATAACCAAAATGTATGTCTTAGGCACTGTTCAAGTTCGAAGGGCTATGGCTTTCTCTTCTACCCCAGTAGTTGGAATGAGAAAAAGATTTTTACAAATCTTAGAACCTTGGAAGAGGGCTATGATCTTGAGAGCAGATTTAATTCCCACCTTCTGCAACTAATTTCAAAACACACACACACACAGATTTAAAGGGTGGAGGGGGAGAGGGGAAGTAGACTGATGTTAAGTATGTCTTTCTCTAGATGGTGACATTATAAAATATTTCTGGAGAGATGAATCTTTTCTGTATTGTTCAATTTTTCAAAAACCAGTTTATCTTGCATTTACAGTTATAAAAAGCCCACAATCATTATTTTAAAGAGAAATAGAGCATGAGAGAGTGTATCATGTCAGTAGCCTGGTATATGCTCAGTAAATGTAAGTCCCCTGTTATCTCTCATGAAAAGGAACTAGCTGTACTTCCAATAGGAAAAAATAAAGTTAAAATGTGACACTCTAGAGCAATAAGTTTCTATAATAGGATAGGAAATCACTCCTACTGCCCTGAGCAGCCAAAATTATAAAGCGTTAAGTCAATGGCTGTTCTAAGCATTAAATCCTTTGAGAATATTTAATCTATATAAATCAGAGAGCAGTACTTCTGGCAGAAAATGCTCTCCCCAAAAAACAAGTACAAAACTAGACAAAAATTTCAAAAAATGATCATTTCAGGAGTCTGGGAAAAGACCAAAGACAAACAACAAATTAAGAAATATTTATTTGTGAGAAACTGCTGAACTTCTATACAAGCAGTGGGAGTCTGTGGTATTCTTGCCTGGGGATGTTTCCAACTCCCCAACCCTAATACCTTGATAGTGCTACCAAGGTGGGGCTGGCTGTAAAAACCAGCAGCTTCACTGCTAGAAGGGCTGGCTTGATCTGGGTGGAAAGTGAGAAACCCATATCCATTGGAATTGTCAGTAAAAATAGAAAATTTGATGAGAAATAAATGAGTAAACTTCATGTTCTGGAAAACCATGATTCAAAAAATGAGGGTAAATTACAAATATTCCCAGATAAAAAAAATCTTAGGGAATTTATTCCTAGCAGGCCTGCCTTCAAGAAATACTAAAGGATGTACTTCAGGCTGACAGGATGTGGTGCCAGATGGCAGTTTGAATCCACACAAAGAAATGAAGAGCATCAGAAATGGTAAATATGTGTAAATATAAGACAAAGATAGATTTTAATCTTTTCTTCTCTTAACTTAAAAAAAAAAAGACCTAAGATCGTATTAAAGAATAACTTTAACACTTTACTTTTGGGTTTATAACATATAAATATGTAATATATATGAGAAAATGAAGCTATATTAGAGCAAGTTTGCTAAACTTTACCAGAATTGTGATTACTAACCAAAAGTAGATTGTGAAAACTTACAAGGCATATTGTATTTCTTAAAGTAACTGTTAAAAAATAACACCAAACAAATATAGTTAAATCAGCAGAGGAATTAAGATGCTACACTAAAAATAATTGTTTAACATAAGGAAAGCAATAAAGGAAGAATGGAGGTCCAAAAAAGACATGAGACATAAAGAAAACAAATAGCAAAATTTCAGGTATAAATCCAACCATATTAATAATCACATTAAATGTAAATGGGCTAAACACTAATATAGTGGCAGAGGATGTCAGACTGGAAAAAGGTCAGGATACAACTATATGCTGTCTATAAGAGATAAACTTCAGAATAAAAGACACAAATTGGTTGAAAATAAAAAGATAAAAAATAATATACCAACTCAGTTAAAAAAAAATGGGCCAAAGACCTTAACAAACACCTCACCAAAGAAAATATACAGATGGTTGGTAAATACGCATATGAAAAGATGCTCCACATCCTATGTCATCAGGGAAATGCAAATTAAAACAATAAGATATCACTACATTACTGATTAGAAGTACACAGATACTTAATTTGTCACCATTGTCTTTTTTAGACATCACCAAGCAATATATATCTAAATGGGTGGTGAGTGATGAGGAGAGTACTTACTGTTTTGGAAATTAAAGGGTTGGAGATATGGACTTATTAAAACAGTGATTAAGAGAATGAAATTTTTAGTCAGACAAATATGTGTTCAAATTCAAAATCTGCCACTGGTATGAGACCTTGCAAAAGTCACCTAACATTTCATGTAAAATAGATAGCTAGTGGGAAGCAGCTGCATAGCACAGGGAGATCAGCTCGGTGCTTTGTGACCACCTAGAGGGACAGGAGAGGGAGGGTGGGAGGGAGGTGCAAGAGGGAGGGGATATGGGGATATATGTATACATATAGCTGATTCACTTTGTTTCACAGCAGAAACTAACACAAAATTGTAAAGCAATTATACTCCAATAAAGATGTTTTAAAAAAATCACTTAACATTTCTAAGCCTAAGGTTATTGATGTATAAGATGAAGATGATATTGAAATTAGCCTAGTGGATTATTATGAAGATGAAATGAGACTATAAGAAAAAAATGCATGTAAAATTCAGTAGAAATTGTTCTGTACATCTTAGTTGATTTTGAGAAGAGCTCAATGATTTAGAAACATCCTTGCTTTCTAAGCCATGATTTACTTGATTGATATTTATTTCTTTTGTTGAAACTTGATTTCTGAGAGAAGTTATGACAGCATAGAATCACTTAAGGGGCACTTTCACATTTTAAAAAAGTTGTGTTTTAGGTCTACTATTTCACAATATGCACCTAAGAAATAATGGAAATTTACCTATAGTTATAAATAACTAAAGGATTTGCAAACATTAATTTTATACTAAATTTAGCCAAATGTACTTTGTTGTGCATAACAAATGTCAAGCCAATATATTTAATAATGAAATTCTGGAAATCTGCCAGTCTTGTAATTATCATATTTAGGGCATTGTTCATAGATACTTTTATTGGATCAATTGTGAAGAGAATGGGTGATGAAAAAAATGACCAAAATAATTATTAGAAAATGTTCTTAAATTTTTGTGGTCAGAAAATTTTTAAGCACATAATTGGAAAGATTTCATATTGTTTGTTAATTAAATGTGTACTTTCCTCATTCTAAAAATAATCCAAACTGGCTATAATTGGATGCTGTAATCAATGAGTCACCAACTGCCATTTGGAAAGTTTCATTTATATTTTAAAATTTCTAAATTACTTTTTATCAATTACTATTTCTGTGTACTGAATTGTGACCTAAAGCTTCATCTTTTATGGCTACCAATAAATAGCAATCTTTAAAGAGTTATATAAACAAAAATGATGATGTCCAAACAAAATATTACAACTTTTTAAAATAGTTACAATAGAACTAATAAAACCTAACACTAATAGGATAGTATATTCAGTGACAGATAAATAAAAGGAGAAATCAATTTTTAAAAAACACAGAGATCAGTAGAATTCTATCCTGATATAATTTAATGAGGGATTCTAGTGAGAAGAAGAGAGTTTGTATGGTCATTTCAATTTGAAAAGATTTATTCTATTCTTGGGTAGCCTGCTTATATTTTATCACTCATTCATTAAAACTGCTGAAAATGTAGTGCAACTAAATTTATCCTTTTTCTATCAAGAGAAAAATCAAGAATCTCTTTTAAAAACAGCCTGATGGCCAAGACAAAACCTAGTCAGAAGTTACTTGAGTGAAATGCCAGAAAGGTCATGGACTCATAAGCAAACCCCCTTTTCTAAAACTTGTGGGTGAGAAGTGAACTCAGCCAGGGCAGGGTGTGGCATCCTAAATGAAGTCAAGCCTTCAGAGGAGAAGCTACTGTTCCTCCCACTTCCCTGGGGAGGGGAGGGGTGGGGGTGGTTTAAAAAGTAATTTAATATAATTGTTAATAGGAACTGTTTTATGTGGCAGGTTCTTCGGATGATTTTTTTCCTTTCCTTCCTTCCTTCCTTCCTTCCTTCCTTCCTTCCTTCCTTATTTCTTTCTTTCTTTCTTTCTTTCTTTCTCTCTCTCTCTCTTTCTTTCATCTCTTTTCTTTCTTTCCCTTCCTTCCTTCTTTCCTTCCTTCCCTCCCTCCCTCCTTCCTTCCTTTCTTACTTTTCTATCTCTTTTTCTCTCCCTCCCCCTTTCCTCCCTCTCCTTCCCTCCCTTTCTCCCTCCTTCCTTCCTTACCTCTTTTGTACATTCCAAATTTTAATACTTATAATACTTGTATAATACAAAAAATTAAGAAAAAACTTTTAAAAACATTAAGAGTTTCAGTCTTTAAATTTTCTGCTTTTAATCTTTCTTTTGGCACAAAAAGGTAAATAAGAAATGTATCTCAAGCCCCACCAACTATGCAAAGGGATCCTTTGTGCCCTTGCTGGGGGCAGCAAGGCCCATCGCAACAGTTTCGTAGTAGTGCAGGTCTGTGATACTAACTGTCTATCTTTTGTCCTACGTTATAGGCAGAGAAGAAAGAAAGATGGCTTGTAAAACTTGTCAGGGCCTTCCCACCACTCTCAGGACAAATTCTAAGCTCCAGTGTGGCTGGGGTCTGATGAACCAGGGCAGGATATGGAGAACATAAAAGGGGGGAGTTAGAGAAGGACTGTATGTGGGTGGGGGGGTGGGGGGGGTGGAGCTCTTGTAGGACCTTGCGGGTCTTTTGATGATTTTTTTTTTTTTTCCCCGGTACACGGGCCTCTCACTGCCGCGACCTCTCCCGTTGCGGAGCACAGGCTCCAGACGCGCAGGCTCAGCTGCCATGGCTCACGGGCCCAGCCGCTCCACGGCATGTGGGATCTTCCCGGACCGGGACACGAACCCGCGTCCCCTGCATCGGCAGGCGGACTCTCAACCACTGCGCCACCAGGGAAGCCCTCTTTTGATGATTTTGCCTTTTAGTCCCAGTGAGATAAAAAGCCGTTAGAGGGTTTCGCGCAGAAGAGTGATGCAATTCGAGAGATCATTCTGGCTGCTATATTGAGAATGGCTGGCAGAGGGGCAAGGGTAGAAGCAAGGAGATCTGTTGCGGGTTTATTGCTCTGTACAATTCAAGTAAGAGATGATGCTGGATTAGACATGGATGGAAGAAAGTGATGGTGAAAATGGATAGGATTCTGGATATATTTTGAAGATAGAGTGCATGGGATTTACTGTAGATTGGCTCTGGGATGAGAGAAGGTGCCAAGGATGACTCTAAGTTTTTTGGCCTGAGAAACCAGGGGCATGCAGTTACCATAGAGTAGACTGAGAGAAGTAGGTTTGTATGTGGGGCAGAGTGGAGAGGATAATAGGAGTAGATCAGGAGCTTAGTTAAAGACATGCCAATTTTGAGATACCTATTAGGAATCATGATATCCTTAAGGAGGCATAAGGGGATGGGACCTAGCTCATGGGTAGAAGGATTGGACCATGATAGTTTATTCTAAGCACTTGGAGACAAGATAAAAATACAGGTACAGATACAGTAGATGGCTGGATGTGGTGGTGGGAGCTTGAGGAAGCTCTTTTCTGATTGTTCCTTTTTCTCAATGAAAGGAGAAGCAAGGTTATCTGCTGAGAATGAGCATGGGGGAGAAGGTTATTACAAACGTTTCTCTTTGAGAGAAATAAAAGATGTGAAACAGTTATCTAGGAGAATTGCAAAATGAGTGGACTATAGAAATATATGGTATTTGCGTAGTATTGTAGTTATGAATTTAAAGCGACTCCAGTCAGAATGGTTGTGTGTTTTTCTCCAACCTGTTCAGCTACCTGGGGCATCTGGTTCAGGGTCTCTCAAAAGGCTGTAATCCAGGTGTTGGGCAAGGCTTAGTTTTCTGCTTCAAGGTCTCACTGCAGTGCAATCAAGGTGTCAGCTGGGCTGCATTCTCTTCTGGAGGCTCGATTGGAGTAGAATCCACTTCCAAGCTGGCAAGTTGTTGGCAGAATTTATTTCCTCATGGCTGTAGGACTGCAAACTTAAGGGTTTTTTGTTTATTTGTATTTTTACTGGCTGGAGGCCACTCTCAGCTCCTAGAACATGTGTGAAGTTCCCTGCCATGTGGCTCTCTCCATAGGCAGTTCTCAACATAGCAGTTTGTTTCTTCAAGGCCAGTAAAAAAAAAGTCAAAGTGAGTCTGCTAGCAAAAAGTCTTAAATAATATAACCTAATAATTGGAGTGACATCCCATCACTTTTGTCATATAGCATAATGTATTCATGGGAATGATTATCTCATCACCTTTTCCATATTCTATTGGAAGTGAGTCATGGGTCCTGCCCACCTTCGAGGGGAGGGGATTACACAACCCAGGAGGCAGGGATCATGGGAGTTACTTTAGAGTCTGTCTGCTGCACCATTCTAGTCCCAATACCTGATACCCAGTAAGCCAAACTTAGTAAATATTATTTTTTAAACAAAAGCTTACCAAGCTCTTATTCTGAGTCAGAAACTGCTCTAAGCACTTTAAAAATATTAATCCCCACAGCAACCCTAGTAAGTAGGTCCTACCATTATCCCCATTTTACAGATGGGGGGATGAGGGACAGAGACATCAATTAATTCAAGGTCATTCAGCTAAGTAATTGCATAGTCAGCACTTAAACTCATGCTCTCTGGCTTCAGAGTCCATATTCTTACCTATTATGCTAAGCGGCCAAAACCAAAGTGAATGAGTAAATGAGTGCTGTTGAGAGGTACAGGAAATAATTACCCAGCAGCTCTGAGAACCAAGTAAGTTTTGAAACTGCATTTTGTATTTCAATTTTGATGCTAAGCCAGTTGGCACTATCAGAGACTTTTATTGCGATTTTAGGTCTTTTTTCTATTAATATTAAGTAACACAGGCCAAGTGGAGAGGTGGAGCCTGGAACAAAAAAAATGTGTGGAACTCCTTGCTGTGCATGAGATTTCTCGGAGGTGACATGCCATTTTTATCTTTTCCTTATTTAAAGATATTACCTGGAAAATATAAAATAAATTTCAGCTGTAGTAGATTCATAAGGAAGGAATAGGTGACTAGGAGATATCTCCAACAATAACAACTTATGCTATACCTTGGTTTGTCATTCATATTGAGTTGAGAGGCATAAGAGAACAATGACCAGATAGGTGGTGAGACAGGTTTAGGACAAACTATGTTGCAGCTCTGGTTTCAGTGCTGGCCAGATGCCATTCTAGGCTAAGTTTCCAAGGAATTTCCCCTGGGGACAGCCCCCCCCCCCCCACCGTGCTTTAGAAATATCCAGCTAAGTGGCCTCCCAAGAGGGTGCATTAAATATTTGACCCAGGACTCAGAATGTAGAGAGCCTTTTAGCTTGAAGAGAAGAAAATATACTCGAAACATTTATTATGGTGGTTGAGGTTTTTAATGACTGGATTATTTTTCCACTCATTAAATCCAGAAAAACCCTGTTATACAGTGATAGGCTTCTAATCTTGGTTCTGCTTCTTAATTATCTATTCTATCCTTCGATAAATCACTTAACTTTAGGGGGGTTTTGTTTCCTTTTCTATTAATTAAGGGAGATGGACCAGACAATCTCTGGCTAACAGCACTGGAATGGAATTTAAAGTCCACTCTCCCACACCATAACAGCCTACTCAATTTGGAGTCCTGAGGCTGTGTATCTCTGTAATTATTACACACAGCACTCATCTACTCTCTCCCTGGTTCATTTCTTCCTGTTATTTATTTACTTCCTAGATTATAGTCAGTTTAGAGGGGCTGTACGTTGAGTGTATATATATATATAGAGAGAGAGAGAGAGAGATAGATAGATAGATAGATAAAAGGGTGTATTTGTTATTTCACAATATTTCAAAACACAGCCTGAGCTACAGAAAATTTAGAGAGTGGGAGGAATGATGAGCTATTACGTTAGGATGACTCAAGTTCTAGGAAAATATCAACAGGAAAGTCAAAGCCCTAATTCCTCCACCACTCATCTGTTTGTCTCTTGGAAATAGTGATCTCATGAAACACTCATGCGAGCCTTGAGCTAAGCCAGACCTCCTGGTGATCTGATGAACTGCTGAGAAATAACCTGGGTCCTTTAGATTTTCAGGGGCCTAGCTGAGGCCATCACATTCAGGACAGTGAAGGGAGGACTCCTGGTATATGCTCACTAATACCAGCCCACTGTTTGAAAAGTCTGTGTGGATCCTCACTGGTTGTACTACAAAAGGAAGTGTGGACAGACTGGCACATATCCGATACAACTGCAGGGAAAAACAAGCAAGCAAGTAGCCTCTTTACTTGTTAAGTAACATACCTGCTTTTCTGAAATTAAAAAATATATATTCTCTTAATTGTAAAATAATTTTCATTTTAGTAAATTTAGAAAACACCCTAAAGTCACCGGAATCCCATTGTCCCTAAAAGATAAAACATAAGATCTTCTTTGGTATACACTTCTGAATTTTTGAATGTGTCTGATAATAGCCCATTTAAAACACCTTTCTTGGAATCCCAACATGATTCTGTATTTTTAATATAGGACCACTCCATTTCCCTTATTTTCTTTATTTTTCTTTCCTTCTCTTATTTATTCACCTAACACTTATTGAATAATTGCTGTGTGCTAGGTCCTTTCTCTTTTAATTCTCTTTCCAACTCTGTAAGATACATTGCACGTATTGTTCTATTTTGTAGATAAGGAAAGGGAAGTTCAGTGAATTAGGGTGATTTTTCCTAATCTCACAGCCTCTATCTACCTATTATCTCATCTATCTAATCTATCTTACCTATCTATCTAACTAATGAAAGTATTATCTTTTTTTTTTTTTTTTTAAAGCCAAGTTGGGATCATACATACTACCCAAAATACATACCCTTTGGTAAATATTCCCTTTTCGATGCTTCTGATTTCACAGTTTATTTAGTACCAACCCTACTAGATCTCTTGCTAAGTTCTCTGAGTACAAATTCCTTGGTGTATTTTGCTAAGGAGGCATCAGGTGTTGCCAGTGTGAAAACAAATAACTGGCTCATAGAAGCCCCATTATTAAGGCTGAGGATCAAGGGGTGGCACTCTTAAAGAGCGAGGCTTCTCACCTCCTGGCTCTCTCAAACCCTACTGGCCTATCCTTTTAAGAAATTTCTTGATTTTATTCTCTCCCTTCTCTGAGCTCTGAAATCCTTCATTTGTGCATTCACTGTGGCACTTATGGCCCCTTGGCTTGAAAAAGGAACATCTCCCCCATGTTTATATATTCCCTGGGGACCAAGACCCTAGCTTTTGATTCCCCGTGGTATCTATCACAAGGACTGGCACAGAACAACCCAGTAAACATATTTTGAAAAAAACATCTATTTGTTCTTGATTGAATACTGAAAAATGTGCCAGTTTGTTCTTAAGAGAATAGTTCAAGCCCAGGGACATCCATATAAATAGCCAGGGATTCCAGGCCATTCCCCACTCTGCACAACACGTTTCCATACTCCTCATCTAAGCCTGTTTTCAACTGGAAGCTTGAGAATTAGAGAAAAGCACTTCCCTAGGATGATGCCTGTCCTAAGGGAGCACAGCTGTCACCCAAAACAGTACTGTGTGGCATTTACAGCTTCCCAGGTGATGAGGCTTTCCGACCCGGTGATTGAGGGCATGTGACAGGGGACAGGCAAATGATTCTGTTGACTCTCACGCCCTCGGTCCTTTCCTCCAGAGCTGTGTGCTCCGTGGGTTAAAGATTTTCTTTTTTTGTTTGGACTGATAGTGAAGAACTCCACCATTAGTTGTATTCTAATTTTTTGAACTTTAAAATTTTTATATAATTTCAACCTTACAGAGAAATTGTCGAGCAGTATAAAGAAGTTCCATATACCCGTTACCCAAATTCACTAATTGCTAGCATTTTCCCCCAAATATGCATTTCTATCACATATACACACATATGTATGCCAATTTCTGTACTGGGATTAATAATCATGAGTTCATGCTAACTTCAATTCCAATCTGCACTAAAGAGGTAATTCTAGCCTCTCTGCCTTTCCATATGTGTAATTTTCTTCTCCAGAAGTAACTTCTCTCTCATTATCTTCAATACATTTAGTCATTTGCTCACCTCCACGATACAAACAAAATAGGTTCAGAATTGCTAACCCACACCACTGTGAAAAGCCAACCTACTAACTAGAGTTTAACACTTGTTTACAATTCATTTTGTCTTTAGATTGAGGGTAGAAGGTTAAAATACTGTGCCCACAGGTATATTCATATGTCAAAAATCACCAAATTGTCCATTTTAAATATCTGTAGTTTATTTGAAGTCAACCTCAATAAAGCTGTGAAAAAATACTGTCTTCAAAATTTACTTGGGTTAATTCCCCCAAGGAACCTTCAGTAAAGTTATGTTATTTAAGATACAGTTAGGTTGATTTGTTTCTGTTTGGTTTCTGTTTCAGGGTTCAACCTCCCTCTTTGTTATTTTTATTTCATTTTTTGAATATGTAAAGCGTTAACAGGGTTCCAAAAGTCAAAACTATACAGAAAGTTGTATTTAGAAAAGTGCGACTTCCCTCCCCATTCCTCCACTTGATTCCTACCCACCCGCTGCAGGTAACTAATCTTATTGGTTTCTGGTTTGTCTTTCCTGCTTCGTTTTGTTTCCAAAAATAAGCAGATGTGTGTACATTTTCTTATTTCCTCTTCTTTCATTATGTATACTTGTTTGCACTTTGCTTTCTTTCACACATACCAATGTCCTGAAAGTCACCCCTTTTCAGTTCGTATCAGTCTCTCTTTGTTTTTTGTAGTATTCCATGTAGCTATGTAGTATTCCATGTTTTCTTCTACTACCTGTATGATTTCATACTTTACTCTTAGATCTCTGATGTGTTTGGAGTTTATTCTTACGAATGGTGTGAAGTACGGATCTAGTTTCATCTTTTTCCAAGTGGCTACCTAGTTGTCCCATTTACTCAAAAGTCTAGTGGTTTGAGATGCCACCTTTATGATATAGTACTTGGGCCTATTTAGGCCCAAGTACTATATCATAAAGGTGGACTGTCTAGTCTATTCCATTTGACTATTCACAATTGTTCACATTGTTCACATCTATTCACAATCTACCACACTGTTTTAATTATAGGGGTTTCATAGAATATTTTAGTATCTGGTAGGTAGGCTTCTTATTGTAGTTTTTTTGTTTTTTTCAGTGTTTTCCTGGTTATCCTTTCATGTTTCTTTTTCCATGAGCACTTTGGTATCAGCTTGTCTAGTTTATACATTTATAATATAACATGGAGTGTAATTTATACATTAACAAAGGGTGTTTTTCCTTTTATCAAGTATCTTTGTGGCTTTTGTGTAGGAATGTTTTACAGCTTTCTTTATACAGCTTTTGCACATTTTGTGTTACATTTAATGTCCTTTGTTGTTATCGTAAATGGGATTTTCCTCTATTATCATGTCTTCTAACTAGTTGTGTATATGAAAACGATTGACTTCTATCTGTTCATTTTATAGCTTTACTGAAATCTTTTATGATTTAGTCTTATCATTGATTCTCATAGTTTGAGTTAATCTTATTTTCTAGAGTTTTCCAGGTACTCTCATGTCATTTGAAATTCAAGGTAGTTCTGCTTATTCTTTTCTAATTCTTAAGTTTCTTACAATTCCTCTTAATTGCATTAGAAGAGATCTTCAGTGTAATGTTAAATAATCATGGATAGTGAGCATCCTTGCCTTCTCTGCCATTATTTTTTAATTTTATTTATTTTGCACCCCACGTGGCGTGCGGGGTCTTAGTTCCCCAACCAGGGATCGAACCCACACCCCCTGCAGTGGAAGCGCGAAGTCTTAACCACTGGACTGCCAGGGAAGTCACTGCCGTTAGTTTTTAAAAGACTATGTATATAAAAAATATTTTAAAGGACAGAAATAACTCTTTAGGCAAGACGTTTCTGGATATTTATCTGGTAAGATAAGATTATGGCCCTTTTTATGCCTAGAAACTAGAAAAATATTTTTAGCACAAAGGGTAAAAGTAAAAATTTGATTTTATAATAGTGCGTTGAAAACACTTGTGCTGGGCTCAGTTCTTCCTTTTTCTTTAATGAACTCTTTAATAGTGATTTTTCTCTTTATTCATTCATTCATCTAAGATTTATAGAATGCCTATAATACTCCAGACACTATTACAGAGTCTTTATCTTTTAATTTTTACTACACCCACGTGAGTTAGGTATTATCCTCATTTTATAAAGGAAGAATTCAGGGTTGAACTGTGATTTTGAATCTAGTCTCCTAGGTCAAATTTTTCTAAATTCTCATATATTTCTTCCTCAGGGAGTAGAAATGTAGATGAGTGACAGTATATTTTTAGAAAGCAATTGTCTTACATTCTTTTCCCTCAGTTAAAGGTCACAAAGCTGTATTATTTATTTTTTTTTTTTTTGCAGTACGCAGGCCTCTCACTGTTGTGGCCTCTCCCGCTGCGGAGCACAGCCTCCGGACACGCAGGCTCAGCGGCCATGGCTCACGGGCCCAGCCACTCTGTGGCATGTGGGATCTTCCGGACCAGGGCATGAACCCGTGTTCCCTGCATCGGCAGGCGGACTCCCAACCACTGCGCTACCAGGGAAGCCCAAGAAATGTTCTTTATAGTATCAGGGATCCAAACAACAAAAGGTTTTCTAGATGATGCTAAGTATATCAAGGTATTCAGGACCTAGACCAGTGCCTGACATAGCATAAGCACCCACATAAAAACAATTACAATTTATTATTTACTCTGTTCCACATTCTGTTCTTGTATTGACTTGTTTAATCCTCACAACACCCCTAAGGGGCATATTTATTATTGTCTGTATTTTATAGATGAGAAAACTGACGTAGAAAAGTTAACTTGCCAAAGATTCCAAGCAATAAAGAAGCTGGAATTCTGCAGATGTCATGTTCATAACCACTACAACTATAAATCTTTCAAACAAATGGATGACATTCTGTGATCCTGAAAGATAGTGTTCAACCTCCTGAATGTGTAACTACCAGCATTACTCATCCAGGGTAAATTTTTCAGTTACTTAATGCAGTGGATGATTTTGAAATTGATAAAATTAAAAGGCTTTTGCACTCAAGAAGGTAGAAGAAGGGCACCAAGATGCCTGAATTTCTTAGTCAGGTATTTTGTTAAATCTAGATGTTTTGGTATTTCAACATTTTGGACTTCTTGCAGAAAATGTGCCAAGTGCCACGCGTAAACACAGCTTTTAAAGGCACAGTGCCGAGCATATAATCGCATGTGCACATCCACACAAAGTTATATGGTATACAGGCAATTATAACCAGTCGCACAGCAACGGCCTTGGAGGTCAACCAGTCCAACAACACTTTTCGTGTCATATACTGAGGCCCAGAGAGGTTAAGACCACAGTCACACAAAGCTGACATCGGGCTTACCTCTCTATGGCGCGCGCTTTTCATTTTCTCAGGTTACCTAATAAATTTGCTTGCATTTCCTCTCTTTTTTTTTTTTTTTTTTTTTTTGGTGCCCATTTGTGCAAAGGTAAATGGGTCTGGCTTCACGTGTTTGCGACCCCAAACACCATAGAACAGAAAGACGGTCAGGGCCCCGACTACCTGGCCAGCTTAAGACGAAATAGTGGCGCAAGGTCAGAGGGCGCGCCAGGCCCGCCCCTGGGGTTCTGCGCAGAGACGTCGGCGGCTGCCGCGCTTTCGCAACCCTCTGTGTGGGTGGTCGGACACACGCCACCCGGATGACGCAGCTCCCAGTCCAGCTCCGCTGTCCGTTTTGGGAAAAGGGGGGCGCCCCGAGCCGTGGGGCCACAGGGAAGACTAGGAGCCGCAGGACGGCACCTCGAGGAACAACACAGTGACGTCAGGGATCTTAAGGCCTAACCGTGATACCACCGCTGGGCTCGGAACTCGCCCCACCCAGCGAAAGCAAAGTACACCCCTCCCAGCCGCGAGGACGCTGGGGGGCGGGACCACCTAATGACAGGCCCCTCGCGCCATCCCCATTGGACTGGAGAATGAGTGACGCGAGAGGCCCCGCCCCTCCCCGCCCCGCTCCTTCGCGGCGCTCGTCTCCGCGCCCGCCTCGTCGCTTGCGCCGTGGGCGCTGACGTGTCTTGGCGGGTGGTTGCGACTCCTCCCCGCGCCGGCAGCCACTCGTCGCGGCGACGGAGGGGCGGGGTGGCCGGGGCCGGCGCTCCCCCTGGCCCCAGCTACTGGCCCCAGCTCCTGGCCCGCCCTGCCGCCCCGGCCCCACGGATGAGGGTATATATTCGGAGCGGGCGCTGGACGCCGATGAGTGGCCGCGCCGAAGGAGCCGGAGCTGGGTGGAGCTGTGGTCTCGCCGAGAGAGGTGAGGGACTCCCAGCTCAGTCGCTGTCTACTCTTGTCACCCTGGAGGAGACGGCGGGACTCGGGACCCGGGGCGGGTGGGGGCCTGGTGCCGCCACGCACCCGCTTCCACGGCCACGCGCGCGACGTGGACACGCGGCGCACGTACGTGCAAAGAGCCAGCAACCTGGCACACGCCGAGGAGCGCGCTGCCCACCCACACTGCTCCCGTGTGGCCCGCAGCGCTTCTCAGCCTCGGCGACCCTGCTGGGAGTGCTGGCATGAGGGCGCCCACATGGGCAGTGTCTGCAATCAAGGGTTTGTCAAGAGGTTGGGAGTGGAGCCTCGCCTGGACCCGGGATGGGGGCCTTGAGGTTCTCAGGCTAGGGCCTTGTGGACAGTTTTGCCAAGCTTGGGGGGCCTACAGTGGGGACAAGTCGTTGGAACTGTGCGGTGGGAGTGAGTTGGGGTGTCCTGAGTATATGAGGAAAAGACTCTGAAAGCGTTGATGGTAAGGATTGGAGATACTTGTGGGGGCCATGAGAGTGGGACAAAACCTACTTGCCGTTTTGTTTTAATACTGATGATGGAAGAGGGTTGAAATTTCTGGCTTTCCCCTGGCTTGGCCAAGCAGCAACATGGGATTGGAGGGTTCAGAGCACACATGTGCTGTATGGCTTCCCGAAGATTTTGTTAAGTTTGGCCTGACCCTATGCTATATTTATTTGTACATGGTTTATGAAATCTGAAATCAGGAAATAGTGATTGTGATAATGTGTGTATGTTATTATGTAGTACCTTTAGTTTAAGGGCTTTCTGGTGAAATTAACTAGGTGTGGACAGAAGGCAGTTTCTGTTACTTCACTGTTACTGAGTTGCCTCACTTAGCTTGGGCTAAAAAAGACTTAATAGGCTATGCTGTTATAGCATTTATATAGCATTTATATAAATGCTGTTATAGCATTTAAATAGCATTTAAAGCATTCAGTGGTTATGGCTCCTCCCCATGACTATTTTTCAAACGCTCTAAGAGGTTACTTATCAATTTGGGGGACATAATATAGCTGTAGAGATAGAGGTAGGAAGGAGACCAGAAGAGGAGGGGGAAATACTAAATATCTTTTAAACTGGAATTTAAATTCTGATAAAGTTATGTTTGATAATGGTGGGCTACTGCCAAATATGTCACGTAGCAAGTTCTGTCATAATTTCTAGATCTTCAACTTTTTCAGACTTTGGTTGTCAAAGTAAAAATCCTTGTCTAATTCTCTTATTCACTACTGCTTACCCATTACACACACGCACACACCTCTTATCAGAATTAATGGAGAAAATAATACGATTTTTGTGGCATGGAGGTGGTTATATCTGGTTCATCCTGTAAAGTTCCTCTCCTACTTGTCCTGTACATTTTCTTCCTTTCTCCATTCTGTTGGCTTATGAACTCAGTTTTGCAAAGTGAGTCAGGTGTAAGAAAATCAACTGTGTCTGTATTTTTGAATAAAGTACAAATCACCTGTTTCTCTTTTTCTTGCCACCCCTCTCTTACACATATACGCACATGCACATGGAGATAACAGAGTCTTTCTCTTGAGAGTCAGTATAGCATGATGGTTAAGAGCATGAATTTAGGAGTCAGGCTGTTAGGGTTTGAATCCTATCTCCGTCACTTTACTGGTTTTGGACCTTGAGCAAGTTATCTCTGTGGCTCAATTTCTTCCTCTGTAAAGTAATCCCAATAACAGTACCTTAGAGTTGTTTTGAGGATTAGCAGCTATCTATAAAGCAATAAGAATCGTGCTGCCATATATATGGTAGTGTTTGTTGTTATTGCCCCTTCAAGGGACCCACAGATGTAGGTTCTCTTAACCTGAGTTTGTAAATGGTGTTTGATGTTTAATAGTCCTCATGAGATAGAGAGTATTATTAATCCCACTTTACAGGTGGGGAAACGGAGGCATAGGGAAATTAATTCAGCTGAACTCCAGAATTTTGCTCTCAACTACCTTGTATATTGCCTTTTACTATTCTTACATGAGAAGATTCTTGCTTTTTCTTTGATACCTACTTTTCCTCTGTCCTTTATATCTAAGCTAAGCAATTATAATGCAGTGATGATTCTTCCCAGTGTGTCTCAAATTTATCCCTTTCACTCTTATTTCCTCTGCAACAAATCTGGTTGCTCTTTGGTTTTTCACACCTGCAATTGTCTTTTAACTTGTTTTCCTGCTTCTAGTTGTCCCTCCTTACAGTCTGTTTTGTGCCATGCTCTTTTCTCTCATCTCTCTAAAGCATGGTAGAACGGCCCTGTTTAGTAATCTGTGTTGGCTTCCTGTTACCTACTCTGTTTGGTCTAAATTCCTTTGCTTAGTTTTCAAGGCTCTTCATGGGTTAGCCCTAACCTACATCATTTCCCATCATTCTACATAAAACTTGAACTTTCTTACTGCTCTCCATCCTACACATGTTTACTTACCATGGCCACCAGGCTCTGCTTGTTTCCTAATCTTGTCTATATAATCTGTTCAACTGTTGAGGCACAGCTAGATCATATTTCCTTTGTGAACTCTTTCTGGACAATGCCTGTCTTCTCTTGCATTTATCTGTATTAGCTGAGTAGATTAAATATTTCCTCTTTCTCCTATTTTTTATTACTATTAACATTTGGCTGGATTATCATGGAATGCTCTTAAAAAGCATTACCATATCACTTGATTGTTATGTGTGTATTGCTTGTCCTTTAGGGCTCAATTCTTTTTTTTTTAAATTTAAATTATTTTTTATACAGCAGGTTCTTATTATCTGTTTTATACGTATTAGTGTATACATGTCAATCCCAATCTCCCAGTTCATCCCACTGCCACCCACCACATTCCCCCCTTGGTGTCCATACGTTTGCTCTCTACATCTGTGTCACTATTTCTGCCATGCAAACTGGTTCATCTGTACCATTTTTTTGGATTCCACATATACACGTTAATATACGATATTTATTTTTCTCTTTCTGACTTACTTCACTCTGTATGACAGTCTCTAGATCCATCCACGTCTCTAGAAATGACTCAGTTTCGTTCCTTTTTATGGCTGAGTAATACTCCATTGTATATATGTACTAAATCTTCTTTATCCATTTGTCTGTCGATGGGCATTTAGGTTGCTTCCATGACCTGGCTGTTGTAAATAGTGCTGCAATGAACATTGGGGTGCATGTGTCTTTTTGAATTATTGTTTTCTCTGGGTATATGCCCAGTAGTGGGATTGCTGGGTCATATGGTAATTCTATTTTTAGTTTTTTAAGGAACCTCCATAGTGGCTGTATCAATTTACATTCCCACTAACAGTGTATGAGGGTTCCCTTTTCTCCACACCCTCTCCAGCATTTGTTGTTTGTAGATTTTCTGATGATGCCCATTCTAACTGGTGTGAGGTGATACCTCATTGTAGTTTTGATTTACATTTCTCTAATAATTAGTGATGTTGAGCACCTTTTAATGTGCTTCTTGGCCATCTGTACGTCTTCTTTGGAGAACAGTCTGTTTAGGTCTCCTGCCCATTTTTTGGTTGAGTTTTTTTTTTAATATTGAGCTGCTTGAGCTATTTACATATTTTGGAGATTAATCCTCTGTCTGTTGATTCGTTTGCAAATATTTTCTCCCATTCTGAGGGCTGTCTTTTCGTCTTGTTTATAGTTACATTTGCTTTGCAAAAGCTTTTAAGTTTCATTAGGTCCCATTTGTTTATTTTTCTTTTTATTTCCATTACTCTAGGAGGTGGATCAAAAAAGATCTTGCTGTGATTTATGTCAAAGAGTGTTCTTCCTATGTTTTCCTCTAAGAGTTTTATAGTGTCCGGTCTCTAATCCATTTTGAGTTTATTTTTGTGTATGGTGTTAGGGAGTGTTCTGATTTCATTCTTTTACATGTAGCTGTCCATTTTTCCCAGCACCACTTATTGAAGAGACTGTCTTTTCTCCATTGTATATCCTTGCCTCCTTTATCATAGATTAGTTGACCATAAGTGCGTGGGTTTATCTCTGGGCTTTTTATCCTGTTTCAATGATCTATATTTCTGTTTTTGTGCCAGTACCATATTGTCTTGATTACTGTAGCTTTGTAGTATAGTCTTAAGTCAGGGAGCCTGATTCCTCCAACTCCATTTTTTTTCCTTCAAGACTGCTTTGGCTATTCGGGATCTTTTGTGTCTCCATACAAATTTTAAGATTTTTTTGTTCTAGTTCTGTAAAAAAAGCCACTGGTAATTTGATAGGGATTGCACTGAATCTACAGATTGCTTTGGGTAGTATGGTCATTATCATGATATTGATTCTTCCAATCCAAGAACATGGTATATCTCTCCATCCGTTTGTGTCATCTTTGATTTCTTTCATCAGTGTATTATAGTTTTCTGAGTACAGGTCTTTTACCTCCTTAGGTAGGTTTATTCCTAGGTATTTTATTCTTTTCGTTGCAATGGTGAAATTAAGGATTGTTTCCTTAATTTCTCTTTCTGATCTTTTGTTGTTAGTGTATAGGAATGCAAGAGATTTCTGTGCATTAATTTTGTATCCTGCAACTTTACCAAATTCATTGATTAGCTCTAGTAATTTTCTGGTGGCATCTTTAGGATTCTCTACCTATAGTATCATGTCATCTGCAAACAGTGACAGTTTTACTTCTTCATTTACAATTTGTATTCCTTTTACTTCTTTTTCTTCTCTGATTGCTGCGACTAGGACTTCCAAAAGTATGTTGAATAATAGTGGCAAGAGTAGACATCCTTGTCTTGTTCCTGATCTTAGAGGAAACGCTTTCAGTTTTTCACCATTGAGAATGATATTTGCTGTGTGTTTGTTGTATATGGCCTTTATGATGTTGAGGTAGTTTCCCACTATGCCCACTTTCTGAAGAGTTTTTATCATAAATGGGTGTAGAATTTTGTCAAAAGCTTTTTCTGCATCTATTGAGATCATCATATGGTTTTTATTCTTCAATTTGTTGTTTTCAATAATGTTTCTTTGTCTTTAATTTTTGTCAGTTTGATTACTGTGTGTCTTAGCGTGTTTCTCCTTGGGTTTATCCTGCCTGGGACTCTTTGTGCTTCCTGGACCTGCATGGCTATTTCCTTTCCCGTGTTAAGGAAGTTTTCTACTATATTCTCTTCAAATATTTTCTCAGGTCCTTTCTCTCTCTCTTCTCCTTCTGGGACCCTATAATGCAAATGTTGTTGTGTTTAATGTTGTCCCAGAGGTCTCTTAGGCTGTCTTCATTTCTTTTCATTCTTTTTTCTTTATTCTGTTCCGCAGCAGTGAATTCCACCATTCTGTCTTCCACGTCACTTATCCGTTCTTCTGCCTCAGTTATTCTGCTGTTGATTCCTTCTAGTGTATTTTTCATTTCAGTTATTGTAGTGTTCATCTCTGTTTATTTGTTCTTTAATTCTATTAGGAGTTTGTTAAACATTTCTTGCATCTTCTCGATCTTTGCCTCCATTCTTTTTCTGAGGTCCTGTATCATCTTCACTATCATTATTCTGGATTCTTTTTCTGGAAGTTTGCTATCTGCACTTTTTTAGTTGTTCCTTCATCTGGTACAATGTCCTCTGCCTTTTCACTTTGTCTGTCTCTCTGTGAATGTGATTTTCCTTCCACAGGCTGCAGAATTGTAGTCATTCTTGCTTCTGCTGTCTGCCCTGTGGTGGATGAGGCTATCTAAGAGGCTTGTGCAAGCTTCCTGATGGGAGGGACTGGTGGTGGGTAGAGCTGGGTGTTGCTCTGGTAGGCAGAGCTCAGTACAACTTTAATCTGCTTGTCTGCTGATGGGTGGGGCTGGGTTCCCTCCCTGTTGGTTGTTTGGCCTGAGAAGACCCAGCACTGGAGCCTACCAGTAGAGCTCTTTGGTGGGGCTGATGGCCAACTCTTGGAGGGCTCACGCCAAGGAGCACTTCCCAGAACTTCTGCCACCAGTGTCCTTGTCCCCGTGGTGAGTCACAGCCACCCACCCCCCCACCTCTGCAGTAGACCCTCCAACACTAGCAGGTAGGTCCAGTTCAGTCTCCCGTAGGCTCACCGCTCACTCCCCTGGGTCCCGACGCGCACACTACTTCATGTGTGCCCTCCAAGAGTGGAGTCTCCACTTCCTCCAATCCTGTCAAAGTCCCGCAATCAAATCCCACCAGCCTTCAAAGTCTGATTCTCTAGGAATTCCTCCTCCTCTTGCCCACCCGCAGTTTGGGAAGCCTGATGTGGGGCTCAGAACTTTCACTTCATTGGGTGGACCTCTGTGGTATAAGTGTTCTCCAGTTTGTGCGTCACCCACCCAGCGACTATGGGATTTGATTTTATTGTGATTGCGCCCCTCCTACCATCTCATTGTGGTTTCTCCCCGTCCTTAGATGTGAGGCATCTTTTTTGGTGAGTTCCAGTGTCCTCCTGTCGATCATTGTTCAGCAGTTGTGATTCTGGTGCTCTCGCAAGAGGGAGTGAGCGCACATTCCTTCTTTTCCACCATCTTGGACCAATCTCCTAGGGCTCAATTCATAGTAAAGACAGTGGATATATTTTATTGCTTCTTTGTGGAAGTTGCTCTTTAAATAAAATGGTTTTTTGTTTGTTTGTTTGTTTGTTTTTTGCGGTATGCGGGCCTCTCACTGCTGTGGCCTCTCCCGCCGCAGAGCACAGGCTCCGGATGTGCAGGCCCAGCGGCTATGGCTCACGGGCCCAGCCACTCTGCGGCATGCGGGATCCTCCCGGACCGGGGCACGAACCCGTGTGCCTTGCATCGGCAGGCGGACTCTCAACCACTGTGCCACCAGGGAAGCCCTAAAATGTATTTTTTATAATTATAGGTTTCCTGTCTTCTTGATATTGTTGTATTCTGAATTCTGTGTTTCTGTCCTTAGAGATAAAAGAAGGGTTGAAATATTAAACAGTCAAGTGTTCTTTCAGTAGTAGCTTAGTGGTCAGAGGAGTAGTATAGAGGCAACTAGAGCCCTGGGATCAGACTGTCTGCATTCACACCCTAGCTCCACCAGTCAGCCGGGTTGCTTTGCCTCTCTGTGCCTCATTCTCCTCAACTGTAAAGCGATGATAATAATAGTATTTATGTCATAGAGTTGTTGAAAATTACATGAGACTGTGTAGGTAAAGTACTTGGTGCAGTGCCTGGTATATAAGAATAATTAGCATTGTCTTACAAGTTTGATCTCTTATGAGTATGATCATGATGGAAAGGCAGAATTTCCTTAACATCAAGGGTTGAAAAGTTTTTTTTTTATTTTATTAAAAAATTTTTTTGGCCATGCTGTGGGGCTTGCAGGATCTTACTTCCCCGACCAGGGATTGAACCCGGGCCCTGGCAGTGAAAGCGCTGAGTCCTAACCACTGGACCACAGGGAACTCCCAAGATTTTTTTTTTTTTTTTTTTGTGGTACGCGGGCCTCTCACTGTTGTGGCCTTTCCCGTTGCGGAGCACAGACTCCGGACGCGCAGGCTCAGCGGCCATGGCTCACGGGCCCAGCCGCTCCGTGGCATGTGGGATCTTCCCGGACTGGGGCACGAACCCATGTCCCCTGCATCAGCAGGCGGACTCTCAACCACTGCGCCACCAGGGAAGCCCCCTTTTTTTTTAATGTACTTATTTTTAGCAGGAAAAATCTCAGGTTTTAAGGTTGGACTTTGACCTGCTATTCATTTCTTTTCTCTTTCAGGTTTACAGGTGCAGAAATTACACCCCAGTTATCACAAAACTTGGCTACCAGAGCATTATGAATGTTAATGACCTCAAACTCAGGTTGTCCAAAGCTGGGCAAGAACATCTATTGCAGTTCTGGAATGAGCTGGAAGAAGCCCAACAGGTAGAACTTTTCACAGAGCTCCAGGCCATGAACTTTGAGGAGCTGAACTTCTTTTTCCAAAAGGCCATTGAAGGATTTAACCATTCTTCCCAGCCAGAGAAAGTGGACTCACGGATGGAAGCTGTCCCTCGAGAGGTGTTGGGCAGTGCTACCAGGGATCACGATCAGCTGCAGGCCTGGGAAAGTGAAGGTACTGAGCCTGGGAAGATTTGCTCTAAGGCTTATTATGAGATGTACTAAAACCATTAAAGTAACAGTATTTTCACTTCCTTAAGACCTTAAGCCAGGTGACTGATCTGAGAGTGACAGATTGTGTGGCCAAGAGGCCGCAGTGGCTCCTGTTGCCCGTCTCTCCATTCTCTTTTCATTTCTGGTGCCTGCTTCAAGGCTCTTCTCATTCAAGTCATAATTTGCCTCTAAGTCTCTTTCCTTTCTCAGTGTCCGTACTTCTATTAGATTTCCCTTCCTGAAGCACAAGCTGAATGATTCAGTTTATGCTAGCTTACTCCAAAACCCTTCCCTAACACGGCCCTATCCAATCTTGTCTCTTATGTTTCTCTCCACTGCTACTGCCCCACACCTTTCAGCTGGACCCTGTAATTCACCTTTCTCTGAACATTCTAGTATGCCTTTCCTGCCTTTGCTCATGCTCGTCCTTAGCTGGGTCTGGCCTTTACCCCTTCTCCATGTAGCTGGATCACCTTGTGACGCCACCCGTCTCCTGGAGCTGTGCAGTGAGGTTGCTGTGCCACTTGGGAAACTTACGCTCATTCTCCAAGGTTCACCACATATACTCTTTCATCTGTCACCTTTCTGTCAGTGTCCCAGGTTGAAATTATTTGTCCATGCTCGTCTTTCATTTTTTCTTATAATAAGGGTTGTTTATGTCTATCTTCATCATTACATTGTAAACTTTTAAAGAGCAGCCCATGTCCTAGGTGTCTATGTATGTCACATAGCATATTTAGAGCAGTGTTTTGCAGTTATATGTTGGTCGATAAATGTTTGTTGAATTTCCCCAATGCTTTTTCCTCTAAAGCATATCATAAAATCTGTCCCCATAACTAGTACTAATGAGTGCTTTTGACAGTGGCAAAATAGCTAAAATTTAGCTTTTTTTGGTAGGGTTAAGAACTGTGGTTTTTATAATCTACTACTCCTCCATAAGTAAAAGTGACTAAATATTGCAGGCCCTTGAGTGTTTGTACATGCTGTTGTCAAATCTGGACCTCATTTCCTCAGTTGTCGAATGAACAGATTGGACTAATACTTTTTCCTTTTTAAAAAAACATTACTCTATCGCAAAAATAATATCAAAGTAACAGAACTACGGTAGAGAAATTGCCCATAACCTCATCAAATCTATGTTTTTATTTGTCCACATTGCCACCTAGTACTTGATTATATACATATTTACTTTTATAGATATGGTTTATAGTCTAAATTTGCACCACACTATGGGTATTTTTATTGTCTTTCGCTTTTTGGCACTCCCTGCAACCCCCCAAAATAGAAACATAACTGCCATTATGAACCTTCTTCTCTGCCATTATCTTCATGTCTTTCTCTGGGCTTACAGATCTACTGTTTTTCAAACTGTTCCAAAGACCTCTAGGGTTTCAACTGCTGGTGAAACTGTGGAGAGGGGGGAACAGATACTAAACAGGTAGGTCTCCAGCCCCTTCATCTCCCCACTCCAGGAGCAGTTCTTTGACCTGTTTTTATGTATTTGATACATAAACAAATAAACCTCTTTACATGAAGTTTTACTTAAAAGGGGTTGAAGATTGAAAACATTGAAAATAATTGGATGATCTTCAAGGAGGGCCCTTTCATATTTAAAATGCTTGGTAGTGGCTAACCTCGCTTCTTACTTAGAACAGGGCTCTGCCACTAAGATGTGAGAGAGTGGCTTCCAGATGGATCCTTCTGAATGGAGGACAGTAGTGACCCCCACTAACTTTGGATTCATTAATCTTTCCCTCCCTCCCTGGGTTTCACCAAAAGCCACACAGGACCTCTTCTTACCCTCTGGTATTCCAGCTGCCTATATTTCTCCTTGTGATTTTATGGAGATAAAGTCTTAGAATTAACTCTTATGGAAAGCCAAGCATTGGCCTTGTATAATGGGGACCATGAGCAACAGTCAAGACTATAGTTTGAGTCTATAGTTTGAGTCTCTTCTTTATGGCCTTTTTGTTGGAATCTGTGGAACTAAAAGTCCACATTTATGACTTCTCATTTAGATTAAAATCCAGAACTGTTACAAGCAAGTCTAGTATAAGAAGGTGCAAAGCAAGCTTCCTTTTGGCTTGCTGTCAAGGGAAGAATATTTATTTGTGGCTTAAGAAGTAGGGGTGGAGAGGGAGACTTTTTAACTGGCGTTAACAACATTTTCATTAGGTAGAAACTGCCATATGTGTGCAAATTCATAACAAAAGGAAGTTTCTGCAGTAAGTTATCAAAGGAAAGAGATTGCCATTGCAAAGATTCCAATGCTTTATTTCAGATAGTAGGAAATTCCTGATAATTGTATCAAAGACAACCTCCCCCACCAGCCCCCACTGCGCCTGCCCCCATCCCACTGCCCCAGGATAGGGGAAATAAAAGCATTGTACAATAATTTCAGTGTCTGGTGGCTATTGACCTTAGACATTTTAACACCTAGGGTGGAAAATTATTGGTGAAGGATAAATACGTAAGCTACCACTGTGCTTTTTATTGAAGAGAGATCTTGTTTTGATTTAATTCTTGAAGTGTTCTGGCCAGTTGTAGAAAATGGAATGTAGAGTGGTAACTGAAAAACCTCTATCTTACAAAACTGAGGTCTTGGAAGAAGTAGTTCAGAAGCTTCAATGAGAATATCATTTTAGAAAAGATATTCACACTGGGAAAATATATTTGCTTAAAAAAAAATCCTGTTCTTCATTAAAAGAAATGCATGCTTAAACTGAACACAAAACAATCTTGTAATTCTGTTTTATAATAAGAAATTAATATTCAGTGTTAGCCTTTTTTTTTTTACCTGTGAGACATTTAAAAAATTAATCTATATAGCATTGTAGAAAAGTAAATGGATTGTTTAGAAAAAATGTATTCATGACATTATCCTCCTCTACATTTCCTGAAATCTAGTGCAGTGATATTTCTAACAGATTTGTTTTATTTTAAAAGTAACACATACTTATTTTGGAGAAGTTGGAAAATACTAAGAATTACAAAGGAAAAAAGATAAATCTCTGCTGTCCCACAATCTAGAGATAAATACTCGCTAGTAGTATTTTATAGTATTTTCTTATATACACACACATACATTAGGATTATAGTTTATGTATAGTCTTGTAGCCTGCTCCAGAAATTGTTATTATGAAAAATTTCAGGCATATTTGGAAGCAGATATTTGGAGACAAAAAATAGTATAATGAACTTCTATATGTGCATTACCTTAATTAAATAATTATGAAAATTTTGTTAATTTTGCTTTATCCCTCTTTCATTTTTCTCTGCTGTAGTATTTTAAGGCAACTTGCAAACATTATGTTTACCCTCATAAAATTCAGTATACATCTCTTAAGTATAAGGACATTTTCTTCCTAATTACGATGCCATTATTATACCTAATGAAATTCACAATAATCCCCCAGTATCTAAAACCAGTTCAAATAGAGATTTCCCTTATTAGTCTACTTTTTGTGCTTAATATTTTGGGGAAGTAGTTAATCCATAAAAGAATTGTTTCACCTGTAAAATGTGATTAAAAATTAAAGACTTAAAATATCTCCTCTCTTGTGTATAGTCTTTCTTCATTTCCACCAGTTAAATAGCCTGTTTACCCCACCCCTTGTCCAGGAGTGCTGAAAGTTTAGATAGAAAGCTGTGGCAATGCTCTACATCAGAAGCACCTGTGCCAACCTCCTTGTTTCAGGCACATGCCCAAATCAAAGAGTATATATGAGAGGAGCTAGTCCAAGCAGGAAGTTATCCAGGAAGCAGTTGACCTGTGAGAGGCCACTGTAAACTCTTCTCTCTGTTTGTTGTAAATGTTATCAGGAAAAGTGCTCGGACTCTGTTGGGCTAACATGCATGACTCTCCAAGGAGAGAGGTATACCCCTGCCCTGGAAATGGCTCATTCTGGCTTGATTTTTTTTTTTTTTTAAACTTCTGATTTAATGTGTGTTAGGTCCTGATTTCTGTGGGAAGGTAATTAACTCTAGTGGCCTGTAATGAAAAGATGATATAGTAATGTACTTTTCAGGTTTTTTTTCCATATATTTGCAGAAGTTTTGGGATAGAAGTTCATAATTTCCTAATTGTCACATGGGTTAAATACATTTATAATCAGTTAACATTTTTCAAATAGGTGCAGTGCTGCCTGTATAAAATTTATGTTATGACCCATACAGTTTGAAATCATGTATATTGCCATGTAACTAAAAGGCTTACTGAATTTTATTGGCCTGCTTAATTTCAAGGAGTATTTTATCTGTCATTATAAGACAGGTACTAATTTATGTGTTACACACTTTTGATAAACATTGCAGTTTTATCGTAGTAACACAGATGAAATGGATGAATACTTCAGCCCCATATGATTTGGTATTGTTAACAACAGCTGTAGCTACATTTATTTAGTTCTTGAATTGAAGCTGGCTTTGATACTCTAGGGACTGCTTTCTTTCCTCTTGTTTTTCTCTGTCCATAAGTGAGATGCATACAGCAGGAAGAAGTTAATGCAGAGACACCTTTTTATCACAAATATTTATGGATTGTGTTATAATTGGTTATAATAATTGTGACTAGATGGAGATGAGATGTAAATGTAGATCTGCTTGGAAATGTACCCCTGGCAAGCATGGTCTCAATGCTACTTTTAAGACATAGTGATTAGATGGGTTATCAGGTCCACAGATGGAAAGAAGAATTGGAGAAAGTATGGCTGTCGGGGGCTTAGGAAACAAACACATGCCATTTATTTCAATGAAGAAAGAGACCACTATCAGCTGTTGGTTAGCACAGCTTTAGAATGGAAACATTTGGAAATTTGGAATGAAGCAGTAGTTTAGGGAACTGATCCAAGGAAGAGAAAAGGTTATATACAGTGATATTTTGATAACCAGTAAGAATTTGTGGAAAGCGCCGGTTGGTGTTGCTTGGCCATCTGGCAAGCAGGAGCTCAGATGTGGAGCTGACTCTGGGAGTATGGCTCTTACCTTTTACAGGTAAGGGAGCTGAGAGAAGAAACTTACTTTTGGACCCCGAAGGTAAAAAAGTAAGAAGGCAGGAAGGATGATTAGAGCCATATTAACAGTACAACTTAAAACACATGTGCTCTATAAAGAAAATAAATAGTACCAAAAAAACAAAGACCTTTGTGTCCAGAATATTTATCTGGGACTTTTTGGGAACATGTTTAGAAATATTTTTGATTCCAGCACCTTTGGTGGTATGTGAGGGTCCAGACAGACTGAAGTTATTTATCTGCCATTCTAAAATGGTGCAAAACCTGACCTGAACAGACATGAGACTATTAATAAACTTTTTTTTATCCCACTTAATGTGATTATAAGGTACTGTCTCAGATCTGCTGGGGTAAAATACAACATATTGTCGGTGTACTATATTCCTTTTCTAAATTTTGAAGAGTTCTGCATTCTGAAATAAAATTCTGAAATAAATCTGGTTTAGGTAAGGGATTGTGGACCTGTATTTTAAAATAATGCTTTTTGGGTCAGTGACAGCAGAGTTAAATTTATTTCCTAGAAACCATAGTTTCTTTCATAACTCAAGGAATAACCAAATGTAAAATGGTTTTCAAAACTGCTTTATATGGTTCCCTGTTCCCTTCAGATTGCTTCATCTCAGGCAGTCTTCGTTACATGGTGGTTGTGGGGAGTGTTTAAGCACAACACGGAGCTGGAATGCTGTTAGAAATTCAGTGTTTGGCAAGTTTTGGAGAATGTGGGCTCTTCCCGGCTCAGCAGCTTTTCCATGTAGGGTGATGGGTAAGATAGATAAGAAAAGGCAGCACAACCTCTCATGAATTCAGTGGAAAAGAGTAGGAAGGGCAAGAAGGAAATAGGAAGGACAGTTTACACCCCTAAAAATTATGGTGCTATGTAATTTATCTGTTAAATGTTTGGGTATGATAAGAGACTGCTGTAGGCAGTGCAGTGCTGGTGAATAGGCCCTGGGGTCAAGTTCTAATCCTGATTCACACTTTTTAGTTGTGTGACCTTGGGCAAGATCATTAACTCATCTGAGCCTATTATCTCTAAAATGGGGAAAATTATACCTGCCTTTTAGATTTTTAGTTACTATTTTGGAGTCTAACATTACCCCTGGTATTTTATTTTCAAACTCTGATAAGGTACGATGAAATGCCATGGAGAAAAGGACAAGGACAATCTAGTTATAGGCAAGGAAGAAAGAGAGAAAATTAATTCTCAGATAGCTAAGCTGGCAGCTTTACATCAAAGGTGAGAATTATGGAAATATCTAATGTGCTTTTACAGTTTTTGATTGAAAAAATTGCTAGAAAGTTCTTGCATAACATCCTTGGCTGTACTTAGTTACTGGCAAAGACAGACTGTAGAATCAGGACAGTTCTGATTTTATAATGGATTTATTAAGAATATTTCTTTAAGTTCACAATGTACTAGTATATTAGCTTTAGGAAAGCCCAATATATCAAAAACACATAAAGCCTAAAGCTGGTAAATTAGACAAACCTGCATTCCCTAAAGATGTAAAAAATAATAATAATTGATACTGGCCACCACTGCCCCCTCTGGCTTGGCCTACAATTGTGGATAGTGGCCTGCCTTGTTCATAGAATTTCTGAGAATTTTAATGAAAGTATGAAATTCAGAAAATAGAACAAAAGCCATCAGCCATTGCTTTATCACATCTGACCTTTTACAGCTTTTCTAGCTTCCCAGAGATCCAGTTTCTATGTTGCCTCTTCCCACAAGCTACTCTACCTTCTGGTGCTGAAGCTGTCTACCTTAGAGTTATGAGGTAGCTCTTAGAAATGGTACATGGCAAGATTTTATTTTATTTTATTTTTTAATCCAAACTGAGAGCCTCTGTCTCTTAATAACATTTATAGTTTCACTTACAGTTTCAAAAAAACTCCGTGTCACATCCTTCTGAGCTGCAATAGATGACCCATTTAAAAAAAAAGAAGGCATTTTAATAAATTTTACTGAAGTATAATTACATACAATAAAATGCACTAGTTTTATGAGTTTTTAGCAAATTTACACACCCATGTAACTACCACCCCAGTCAGATATACAACATTTCCATCATTCCACAAAGTCTCCTGATGCCCTTTTGCAGGCAAATCCCCTGAGCTCATTCACTTGAGTTGGGTTTCAAACCCAGCTGTCCTGACTTCAGAGCCCAGCTTCTCAACCGCTGGACTACACTGCTTTCCCAACTCAGGGTTTCTTTTCTTTACATTTACTGGATGGTAGCTTGTCTAGTATACTTACATGCTCATTGATTGATTAATTGTTATTGATTGATTGATCAGCTGGAGGTAATTTAATAGCATCATCATTCATCCTGAAGCCTAGGGATCTGCTTTTATCCTATCTTTTTCTTAACTTGCCACATCTGATAAGTTGTCAAGTGCTTGTACAACATTTATAACATCTCTTGGTCTTTGCCTTCCAACCTTATCAGAATAAAAATTATTAGTTCATTAAAGTATATTATTCATTGTTTGGTGTTTGGTTGGGTTATATAAATTTAATTTTTTAATAATAAAAATGTTTTTATTAACAAGATAGTCATCCATGATTACTTGTGAATTCCTTGTCTTTACGCCTTATGCAGATAGGGTGACTCTTTGCAGCTACCTTTGTATATGTAATCCTAAAGTGTTGAATTATAGAGTGATACACGTATTTTCTTTTTTAGGACTTTTCCAGATTTCTCAGAACAAAGTAGCAGTTCTTCTTCTAGCTGGTGGGCAGGGGACAAGACTTGGTGTTGCATATCCCAAGGGGATGTATGATGTTGGTTTGCCATCCCATAAGACACTTTTTCAGATTCAAGCAGAGCGTATCCTGAAGCTTCAACAGTTAGCTGAAAAATATCATGGCAACAAATGCATCATTCCGTGGTAAGATATTTCTCATTATGGGACAGTGTCTGAACATGTATTGGTTTATAATATTCAAAATGCCTATGTACTTTATTCGTAGGCAGATGTATTTCCTGTTACTACAGATTTTCTTGGGAGCTATAATTTACTATATATGTTAAAATATGTGTTACAGCTAGATTGATAATCACTGTAGCCTTAACGAGCAATATATACTCACCTCCAACTTTTAATCCCTACCTGAGTACCTTTGGGTACTCAGAGGGTTCTCTCGGTCTAGAAACTTCATGTTGATTGGTAGTTTGTCTATGTATAGAATTTCTGATTGAAAATCAGTTTCCCTCTGAAATTTGAAAACATTGCTCTATTGTTTCAGCATTGCTTTGGAGGGGTCCATTGCCATTCTGATCCCCAATCTTTTTTTTTTCCCCCTTTTGCTCTGAAAGAATTTGGGTTCTCTTTTTATCTTCAGTAACTGAAATTTCATGACGACGTGGTATGGATCTATTTTCAGTCACTGCTGTGGGCACTCAGTGGGTTCTCTCACTCTAGAAACTCATATCCTTAAGTATTGGGTTATTTAGTCCTCCTGAAACCTCACCCTTCTCCCATACACACCAGCTGAAAGCCCCATTGATTTCTCTGCTGTGGGCCAAACTGGGATTCTCAGTCTCTGATAGTATGCCAGGTCCTCAGGGCCTATCTCGGCCAGTGTTCATCTTCTAAACACCAAGAGATTACAGGAAATTCTGCTCTGTTTTTTAAAAGGTTTTGATTTAGCTCTTGAATCTGTTTCTCAGAGCAGCTTTGGAAGTTAGCATGTTTTGAGGGGGAAACCAGCTGTGCGTTTGAAATCCCTCAAGTCCCTAATCTTCTTATTTTAGCCCTAAATCTTCTTATTTTAGCCCCAGGTGACCAACAGAAACTCTGCTGGTTTCTCTGTCCTTCTGCCTGGTCCAAGCTCAGATTCTCTACCACTAGCCTTTACCCCAGATCAGCAAATACCCCCAGGAAAAGGCAGCTGCGTATCTTTAGCTCTCCTTTGAAAGATTCTCACTCTCTTGAATTTTAGTTCTAATCCATGTTGCTTTTGTAGCTCTCTGATGCCTTTAAAAATAGGCTTTTTGTAATTTCCTCAGCTTTTCTAGCTATTAAGGATGGTATTGGCCAGCTGTGAACTATTTTCTTCATTTTGATTCCCTTGGGGATTTTTGAAGGACGTCTGTGTTCTAAATGGCCAAAATTCTACTTACAGCCCTGGCCTCCCACTATCATGTTGGATTTTCTTCTTTTTCTTTCTCCTCACAGCTCAGAATTTATTTTTCTTATGTGGAACAGTTTAGTCACTTCTTTTGTCATCTAAATCATGATGCCCAAAGTTTTTGTGCCCAGGGTTCATAATACTCATAATACCCAGGATAATTTGTTAATCAGACAGATATTGACTGTGCTGGGAAATTATATAATGTTCTTCATTTAACAGATATTAATTGAGTACCTACTTCTGGGTGCTGGGAACTGAGACAGACAGAACCAAAACAGACAAAAATCCCTACTTATATATGGTTTACATTTTAGTAAGGGGAAAAGCTATTGTAGTCACTAATTATGGTTTTAGATAGAATTTTTTTCTCTTTTGCTACAGTGGCATGGGTTGGATTTTTGTGACAACAGAGAGTATAATTACACTTTTATGATTTTAAATAAAGGGTGAGCAGAGCCCAGATTCCATTTCAATTTTTTTGTAAAAAGAACCATAAGAGATAATTAGAATGTATTACATTTATCCTTTTCTCCCTATTACTAGAATAGGAGATTTCAACCTATGATACACCTTTCAGAGTTCTAAAATGTTTACTTGAGCCAGTTGTAGGCTTTCTGTTGCAGGAGATATGTTTTAATATTTTTACAGATTTATTTTATACATAAGGATTGATGAAGTTACTGGAAGAAATTCCCCTTGGGTAGCAGCTAATGCTGCCTTATCCAGGAAGAGGATGAAGGAAGTGAAAACAAACAGTGCTCTCAAAAATTTTCTTTAGCTTAGGAAATAGACAAGACTTTACTTTGCCCTGATTCACATAGTGCTATGGCTTAGAAGATTTACTTCTCTCTTGCAAGGTATATAATGACCAGTGGCAGAACCATGGAATCTACAAAGGAATTCTTCACAAAGCACAAGTACTTTGGTTTAAAAAAAGAGAATGTAATCTTTTTTCAGCAGGGAATGCTGCCTGCTATGAGTTTTGATGGGAAAATTATTTTGGAAGAGAAGAACAAGGTTTCTATGGCTCCAGGTTTGTAACCATTCTTATTTAATGGTGACTAGAAGTGGTAGTAACACAACTCATTAAATTGTTTTTTTGAAGTACGGTTGATTTACGATATGTAGCTTTTTATGTTTTGATATATATTTTTTTAATACGGTGATTTGTATGTTAAAAATTAATATTTTAATTATTTTTAAATTTGGCAATGATTAAAAAAAATGGAAATGCCCATGGGTGAAATGGATATGCTTTTATACTTCTGTGGATGTCTGCTCTTGAGAGCAATTTGAGCAGCAGAGTATTTATTCTCTTTCCCCAGTATTTTATATACAGTATTGTTCATGGCTACATTGTTCATTGTAGTGAAAAATTGGAAACCATCTGCTGCTTAAAAAATAAGAGGCTAGATTATAGTTTACCTGTAGCATTAATTCTTAAACAGTATTGAAATAATTGTGTGGAGATATTAATTGACAAAGCGAAATAGTTTCAGTAGGTTAAGTAAGAGAATGGGAAATACAGAGCTACATGCACAGTTGTAGTTTGCTAATGGCATCCCTAGGATTGGGCAGTGTGTTGCCTGTGTAGCCACATATAGTGACCATAAGTATGATCCCACTATAATATAAAGTAAATGTGTCACCAGATTCTCATCTCTGTGAGGCTCTTCTTGAAGGAAAGGCTGAAAGGAAATAAAAACAGTATTTACAGTGGTGCGTTGCAGGTGTAGGCTTTTATTTCATCTCAACTCTTTTCTCCCCCCCACTCAATTCCTTTTAATTAATGGAAGAGTTTACTATTTTTAGCTTTGTTTTGTGAAGTTGTCTAATTTTTTGTCATTTAAGCTGTAGCTGAGGTTGTTGATGGAAGAAGTACATTAAAGCAGCACTAAAAATAGATGGGGAAAGAAGAGGCTTTTGCATATATTTAGTTTAAATCACCATAGACCTTCATATTAATCTGGTTTCTTAACAAATCATTTGGTATCAATACTCATGTATTTTTATTTTTGAGATGGATGAAATTGTCAGTGTTGGGGCTATAAATACAGAGCTAACTTGAATCATACAAATAAAACTTGAAATGTTATAAAAAAAAATTGCCTGTTAAAGAATTTTATGTTTCACAATATATTATAGGCCAAATTGTTAAAAGGGCTGAGTTAAAAAGAAAAGTATGTTCTTTGGAGTTGCCTAGCCCCACATTAATAATGTTATTATACTTACGCTAAATTACCTTCAAAATCACGTAGTATAACTTTTTGACACCTGAATCCTTCCTTACGGACATTCAATTTTCTTGGCCCTGTAATGTAAAACTGGTTTTCAGAGCTCTTCATCCCAGTTGAGAAACATTAAACAATCTTTGGGTTACCGTCATACTGAGTCTTGGTGTGCTACTAACAGGCTGTTGTGTTTCCCAGATGGGAATGGTGGTCTTTATCGGGCTCTTGCAGCCCAGAACATTGTGGAGGATATGGAGCAAAGAGGCATTTGGAGCATTCATGTCTATTGTGTTGACAACATATTAGTAAAAGTGGCAGACCCACGGTTCATTGGATTTTGCATTCAGAAAGGAGCAGACTGTGGAGCAAAGGTAATGCCTTTCTCAACTATAATGAGGCTTTAAGTGGTCTTTCTCTTGTCAGTATATACATTCCAGGAGTCAAACTAGATTTATCAGGGTGATTTGGATATTTTAGAACCATTCATCTTCTAAAGTAACTAAACTGTCCCGCACCCACTTTTTTTCTTAAATTGGCAACATTTGATTCTAGACGTAACGATGTATGCTTAGTCCATCACAAGTAAGAGTTTAAAATATACGAGGATGATTTGTAAGTACCTGGGAAAGTGAATGGTCACCACTAGGCCTGGGATGGGCTTATTAATATCAAGTTGTTGGATTCGTTAATATCAAGTTGTATTTGATCAGATTAACCCAGTTTCTTCCTATGACAAAGTTACTGGAGTAGTAGGTAAAGGAAATATGGTAGAAATAGCAGATGTAGACTTCAGTAAGGCATTTGACAGGGTAACTCATGATAGTCTTGTGAATGAGATGGAAATATGCAGATAGGGGATAAGGACAATTAACGAGATTAAATAACTGCATGAATGACCACAAACATACTGATATTGAGACAGAGGGAGGTTTGTAATGCCATATAATACAGCTGTCCTTGGCATAGTTCTTTTTAGCATTTTTTTTTTGGTTGCATAGATGATAATATAAGAGACTTGCCTTTATGACATGAAAGACCTTAATAACACTTGGGAAGATTTGAAAATATTAATGTAAATATTACTTTCCTGGAAATCTGTCTGTAAAGGTATCATTTCTCACAGAATTAAAGTATAACACAATCCTGATCAAAGTCCTAGTGAGACTATCTTGGGGACATTTGACAAAATGATTGTAAAGTTTAGAATAAATAAATAAAGTTTAGATTGTAAAGATGACCAGGAAAATGTTGAAAAAAATGATGATAAGGAAGGAAGAGGGTTGAAGACAATCTATCCGATATTAAAATGGGTTGTAAATAAAATAACTAGGAGTGTAGTACTGAAACCAGAATAGAATGACAGGTTAATGGAACAGATCAGTCAGAAACAAACTCACGTAAAGATGGCATTTCAACTCATTGGGGGGAAATGAATGGGATAACTGGATAAAAATAAAGTAAGATGTCACCCTCAGAGCTCATACCAAAATCAATTTCAAAGGCATTAAGTAAAAAAACCATAAAGATGATAGAAGAAAGTTTAGAATAATTTTATTTATTTTTATTTTTTTATTTGAGTTTAGTTGATTTACAGTGTTGTGTTAGAATAATTTTATAATCAACATGAAGGGAAGACCTATTTCCCAGAAGCAAAAACCGTATAGGCTTCTGACAAAAACAAATTAAACTACATATAAATTTTAAATATATGAATTTAAAAAGAAGAGCTGCCATAAGAGACATATCATATCCTTGGTTGGAAATTTTCTATTATAAAGATGTAATTTCTCTCCAAATTAATCTACAAATCTAATGCAAAGTCACAGAAGCTGAAGTCTTAAATTTACTAGTACAAGTTTTGAGAGAATAAGCTGGTAGACCTAAGAAGATGACTCCTGACTCTGAAAGTAAAGGGTTGGTTTAGTTCATTGATTGAAGACCTCTATCCATTTCAGTACTCTATGAGTATCTGTGCTGTATTGTAAATAGCTACTAAACTGTAATAGAAATAGTGCATTGGATTTTAATTACGTAGCTACTAAGCTTTAAAAAACAAAACAAAACTGTATTTCTGACTTTGTTCCACTTGGTGTCACTCTTCTTTCTAAAATGGAAACTTAAAATTTTACTGCTCTGAGCTTCAGAATCAATTTAAATTCTAAATGATTAGAGAACGTTGAACCTGGGAGGGACCTCAGAGATCATCTATCTGGTCAACCCCTTTGATCTCAGAAATGGACACTCTGAGTTCCAGTACTAAATAAGTTCCATGCTCAAGGTCCTTCATCACATTAGCGGAGGCAGGATTAGAACTGTTTCCCAACTCTTAGTTTTAGTATTATATCACATTTATAAAGCCAAATTCTTTAGATTAATTATATTTTTGCTGGCAGCTCAAAAAACGTTGAATTGGTGTGCCAACTTTTATGAGTATATTAATCACACAGGGATGTAAATATAACCATTCTCTCTTCTCCATTTCCCCTGGGTCCTCTAGGACAAATCCTGTCTCAGTCTTCCTGCTTAGTTCTGTGTCTGGCATATAATGTAATAGTCACTCAATGAATGCATAAATACATATTCAGATGGAACCGAAATATTACAAGACTGGTATATGTTAAAAACTTTTAGAAATAGTAGAAACCATTTATGTAATCTGTCCTCCCACGCTTTTAATTAAAAAAAATCAAGATGTTAAAGTATATTTTTAAAAACACCTAAATTAGGGAGTGATTCATAGTGTGTAGTAGAATTCTATGTAGGGAATTCTTTTTTAATTCTTTAATAGGCCCCTGTCTTGGTGAATTAAGTATTTTTCATGGAGTGAGAGTCTTGAGAAAAGACTTAGTGGAGCGGTTTACAAAAGTTCATAGCTGAGAGAGTAGGAATGATTGTTAATTAAAGATAATTTTAGGGCTTCCCTGGTGGCACAGAGGTTAAGAATCCACCTGCTGGTGCAGGGGACATGGGTTTGATCCCTGGTCTGGGAAGATCCCACATGCCGCGGAGCAACTAAGCCTGTGTGCCACAACTACTGAGCCTGCGCTCTAGAGCCTGCAAGCCACAAATACTGAGGCCCGCGTGCCACAACTACTGAAGCTTGCATGCCTAGGGCCTGTGCTCTGCAGCAAGAGAAGCCACCGCAATGAGAAGCCCACATACCGCAACAAAGAGTAGCCCCCGCTCACCACAACTAGAGAAAGCCCACGTGCAGCAATGAAGACCCAGTGTAGCCAAAAATAAATAAATAAATACATAAATTAAATTTAAAAAAGAAAGAAAAAATTCCTTTAAAAAATGTTTAAAAAAGAAAAGATAATTTTGTAAGGCAGTTGCAGTAACTTTGAGGTTGAAGTGTTACTTTGAACTCAGCTTTTCAGGATTTAACTTGTAGGAAATCAAGAGACCTCTTAATTTTATGCTGTAAATCTTTTCTGTAGAATATAAACTGACTTCCAACTTCATGTACTTTACAAATGCTTTCTTTTGTAATCTGGACTTTTATAGTATTTGGAGGTTCATAGTTGTTATAAAAGTAAACCTTTTACTGGCAGATTAACACTTGGGAAGTAAAGTGTAAATATGCTTATTTTTATTTTCCATGGCTGGTTAGGAGTAGGGTTGTATAGAAGTGATTGGAAAACAAACCTTGTGTGTGTGTGTGTGTGTGTGTGTGTGTGTGTGTGTGTTTTAATGGGAATGGGAGGAATCTATTCCAGATTCCCTGTCTACTGAGATACCTACTGTAGAGAATGTGAAGTGATAGACTAGAATTGCAAATAGGTCCATGATTGGTTTAAATAATTTTGCTGTATGTTTCCCTCCAGTTTAATCCACTTCTGTGGTAGAAGGTTTCTTTTCATTGAATACTGTACTCCTTTCAGGGCAGCAAACAGTGAAACTACACAGCAGGCCTACGTATCCAGTAGCCCAGCCTCACTGAGCTACACTCAGTGCCTATATCTCTAATTGCTGTGTAAACTAAGTGCTCAATAGTGGCTTTAGTTGTCTGGAAGGGACTGCTACTGGCCGTATTTATTTTAAGAGATCAGTTGCTGAAGAAAATCTTTAATTTTATTGATATAATTTCATGTATGGTTTGGATAGACTTTTCAAAGTGGGGACAGATTTTTCAAAATACTCTGGAATATGCTGAATTGTTAATCGAACAGGGCAAAAATAATATCTTCATATATTTTAATTGTTTGATTCTTCTGCTGGATATTCATCTCATCTGAGGCTTGAGTTTTCTATTAGTGCATTGCATACAGTTGTTTCATAATTTTATTCTAAACACTTAATTTAGGTCAGTGATATATGCTTAGGGTAGTGGGGTATCAGAATCACCTGTGAGGTTTTTTAAAATTGCATACTCATGTTTTCCCTCTGATTTTGACCAAATACTTTTCTCTCAGCTCCCTGATCAGCCTAGAGTCTTTGCTAGATTATCAAATCACTGGTTGTCAGACTTTTTAAAAAAGCATAGAACCTCTTACTTCAAACAAAACCTAGCCTGCAAAACATAAATATGAGTGGGCTTTTCTGATTGAAGTTGGAGTGGAACCCTGTGACCTGCCTGCTCTAACCCTCCTACCTCCTAGCCAAGTTCCTGAAACATAAGGAATTTGCTGTT